GCCCCCCCCCCCACAGAGATTTTTTCAAACAACATTTTTCTCAGAATTATTCACATCATATATAAATCGACTCAGTTTTTAACGCTGATTCCGAATCTGATATTAGCTTTGAACAAAATCGTAGTTTTCTAACAAAACATTGCCTGAAAAAAGGTCTCAAAATGCACAAAAACTGCATCCAGAAACCAAATTGCTTAGATATGTCTCAGATGACCAGTAGTTTTGGGGTTTTCCTGATGCCTGATTTTGTAGCTAGGCAAAAAGACTATCGAAAAGTAAAAACCCGAACTCGATAGCTATTAATATTGGTGATCTATTAGGAAAATACTGATGCCTGTATCTATCATATATCTCTTATAAATTCATGAGGTTGCTTAGGATCCTAATCCCGCTAGATACAAACGCAAATCCATTCAAGCATAACTTTTCTTGCCCAATTTTCCAAGCTAAACACGAATCTGAACTCAATTTCTGTCATTTCTGAAGATATTATATCACTCTGAGAGTCGAGTCAGAGGTTACCGGATAGGGTCGCATACAGTGCGGTCAATGTTAGCTTAGCACGCCTGTATTTTCTCCTTGCAATTCAGTGGCAAGGGATGTATCTTGATGAGATCTATGTCTTACAGAATAAATCCGAAAACCTCGGATTTAAATCCGAGCGTTATGTGTACTTCAAAAAGTGAAAAGGTATATTCACTCTGTTTTTATTTTTTAGATAGTTTGATCCAAATCGATCTGTCATCAGTTAGTTTTTATTTTTGAAGTACACATAACACTCGAATTTAAATCCTATGTTTCCACATTTATTTATAATTAAATTTGTGCGACAACTCGATAATGAAACACATATATTTAACAGAAAAATAGCTGCCTAGTACTTTTATTCTTTCTCTAAGTTATCAATTAGCTAGCTATGCAATATTTAACATGCCAATGGAAAGTCTATATGCAATTCGGTTGGTTCTCTTGGAGAGTGCTAACGCATCATTATTCGTACATGAAAGTCACACTGATGGTAATGCTTTTCTCTTGAGAGAGTGGTATAGACGAGAGTAAGAACTAATCCAGAATATGGGTTCGTTCTATTATTCTATGAAGCTATAGCCAATGGTTAGAATTCTATATTAGGATCTTACTTGATAAAATCATTATAGTCTAGATAAATGAAATGGATGGCTGTTTTTTTCCTTTTAGTTAATAGGTATATAAAAAACTAATTAATATTTAAATTTATTCATATGAGAACAACATCATTAAGAAAAAACATATATAATAAAATAAGAATCAGAAACATTATTACTTGGCAAAAAAATATATTAGCTTTTCATTAGGAATTGCATATTTTCTTTTTCTTTCTAGATAAATACTAAGATTGATTTTCATAAATGGATGCTGTTCCATCGAGTGATCGACGTTGCAAAGTTTCAGTATTTTTCAAAGAACTTTTCTATGGTTTTGTAACCGAATATGAAACACCGAAAATCGTTGCAATACATAGTTATACTATGACAATATTACTTCGTATACTGCAAATAGTTCTACTACTCTACTCGATATTCTATCTATTTCTCAATGAGAAGGGTTACCAAAAACAAGATTCATCTATTATTTCGTCCGTGACACTCAAGGTTAAAGGGATCGGTCATAGTCGTACAGCAAACAATGAAACATTTACCTTCGATGGATCAGGTATATTTTATTTAACGTAATGTAGATTGATAGATAATTAGATTGTTTTGTTTTGTTTTCCTCTAAAAGATTATATTGTACCACCATCAGAAAATAATGCTATATTCATAATGACAAATTTCATTCAAACTGATCAAGTTCGAACTAAATGTCGCGAAAGTCCGTCAGTTTCTGAAGCAATTTGCACAAAACATAGTGATTGCCAAAATAAGCCTTACAACCCAAATATCAACGGTCGGTGGACAGGTCGTTGTATAATGAGACCAAAAGTAAATCAGTTCAATGCAGAGAACACAACAAAAAACCAAACGACAGGCTTATGTGAACTTCAAGGTAAGATATTCGTAGATTTAAATAGAATTTCTTTATCTAGTATTATCAAGCGATAGTTTGTGTGAGTCAAATAACTGAGTTTGAATCTATTGATGACGTACTATTATTTCTCTCTTATCTTGCTTCTCTATAATTCACTATAGAGATAATATCCCCGAAGTATAAACTAGTAAAGAACAGTTTTGATGATTAGAAAAAAATCATTTTGTTATGCATTGAAACTACATCAATGAAATATTGACAATTAACATATAGAGAAACAAAAACAATTTCTAGTTGACTAATATCATCTAGACAGCTTGTCCGGCTAACGGTCAACCAGACTGATTAAAGTAGAAGTTGAGTATTTTTAGAAACTCGCAACATCGTATTATAGGACACGTTTTACTGTATTACGAAACGTATTTTGTTTTATCTTTTTGTTCAACAGACGGAGAAAATGTTAAAATAAAATCTTGATATGTTTTGCAAAATTTTTTGTTGTTTTCGTACCTACAAAGAAAACGATCGAAAATGGCTAAAAATGCTACTGAGTCTAGAGTAGTACTATATATTCTGAATGTGCATAGTTGGGTCTTTCTTCTTTCACAAAGTTCATATGATACGTGGTTGCTAGAAGAAAACGAAACTACTTTAAAAGGTTGATAAATTTTGGGGTGTGTGTTACCAAAAAGGTCTCTTAGTTTGTTTTACGCCACAACTCCAAGGAATTGCCTCGCAATTGCTCATGACGCTTCGATAACTTTCTACGACCTATCCAACAGTCGACTTTGATTCCGGATATTTTTCTCTTTTTGCAAAAAAAATGGTTACGCACTCACGCCAGATACATTTGAGCTCATAATGTTTTTTTGGCCTCGAGATTGATTACACTGATTTTTTCCAATAACACAGATCCCAGAGTTATTACTATAGTGGCAACGGGAGAGTACCTCTTATATCTACAACTAGACAAGAGAACTCACAGAAAAATATTACCATAATAGCATTTTATTAAGAATCAACGTCACAGCTCAACAAGGAATCATTCTCCAACAACTTGCACTTTGAATATAGCTATTAACTGCCTGAATATTATATGGATAGGCAAGTATGTAATAGGATAAGCAAAATTAACTAAACATTAGCTTATTAAATAGGAATATTTTGTTTCGAGCCTGCAAGTAATGAAAAAAACAAGAAATAGTACTTTTGCTATTAATATTGAGGGATGACCGGGATCGTTAGGAATTGAAATTGCTAAGCAGGTACGCGTGTTTTTCATTCGTTTTCATATTAAAACATGAAAGGAGCGAGATACTATTGAAAAAGAATTTCTTCGGCGTGAACTCCTTAAGGTCTTCTGGTTCACCGAAACTTTAAAAAGTCCATACAATCGAAAAAGAGACTCGTCATGCTAACTTAGTACTAATAAGCTATTTTCAATGATCAATGGCATATGTTAAACCCCTAGATACCAAAAGTATTTGAACATTTCCATTTCTGGGCTGTTCGACAGTCTGAATTTTGAGGCATATGCACTTTTGTTTGATAAATTTGGTTCGAAAGTGGCATTGAAAGCATTTACTTTTATCTTTTAGAAGACAAAAAGACAGTTGGTGACATTGTATGCAATACTTTATACATCTATTAGAAGAGCCTGTCTATAGTATGAAATGTGTTCTTTTTTAACGGGCTCTATTATCTCTCTTTGAAGAGTGTAATGGATCATATTCATAATTTAGCGTAAAATTCATAATAGGGCGAAAATGAAAGAACAAGAGACCTTCCTCAGTCTAGAACTTATAATAGACAGTAAAAAGTGCTCAAAAATAAATGGTCAGAAATCAAAAAGTGAGTGCGTTACTTTAATATTTATCAAATAGCTCTTCAACGATACAGCAGATCTCGAAACTATTTTGCTACATGGATAGTTTTAACTGTGCTCTATAAAAATGTGCTGTAGCAATCATATTTACAATTGAAGAATTCGCAGAAATTTCAGAAGTTCTAACACCGCCCTCAAAAGAAGGGGTCTTTTTTTGTGAGTGCGTTATTTGCATGTATTTTTAATATAAAAACGACAGTCCAAAGTCAATTAGCACGAAGCTTATACATGCTACAGTGCATCATAACATACATATATTCTCAAAGTTTCAAGGCTCTAAGCTTTGCTGTTGCTAAAACAATTCGTTCAAAAGTTGGCAAAACGTGAGTGCGTTACTAACGGACAAGCGCTAGAGATAAATCAAAAATTAATTGAGATGATTTTTCTAGTGGAAAATAAGCATAGCTAAATCTGCTGCACTGTGCACTAGCAAAAACAAAAGAACACAAATAATAAAAGTTAATATAATATTCAATAAGAATTGTATTAGATTTTTCTGTGATTATTCATACGAAGAAATCAATGAATAATAATCTTATTTTATTTATCTTATCTATAAAAAAAAAATCATATGAATTAAATCTTAGGTTGGTGTCCTGTACAAGATGATCGTCAAGTGGCAACATTTATCGAAGAAGTTGGAAATTTTACAATATTCATAAAAAATTTTATAGAATTTCCTGCATTTCATGTTAAACATAAGAATATGGTCGAACATTTAAAACCATGTATATTTCATCCAGTTGAAGAGAAAGATTGTCCGATATTTCGCCTTGATTACATATTAAACGAAGCTGAAAAAGACGATCATGAACGTGGATTAATGTTACGTTTAGGTGGTGTTATACGTGTAAAAATCGACTGGGATTGTAATTTAGATCGTAGTATAAAATTATGTAAACCAGTATATTCATTCGCACGTCTGGATACGAAATTTCAAGAAGAAAAATTTTCACTTGGTTTTAATTTTCGTTTTTCATCAAATTGGAAATATAATAGAAGATATTTACGTGCGTTAACGAAAGCGTACGGTCTTCGTTTGATTATTTGTGTTAGTGGTAAAGCTGGCAAATTTGATTTTATTACATTAACATTAAATACTGGTTCATTAATTGGTATTTTTGGTATGGCAACATTCTTTTGTGATATTATTCTTCTCAATTTGACAAAAAAAGCTTCGCTCTATAGAGATTTTGTTTATCAACGTGTAAATATTGATGCGTCACGTAGTAATAGTGTTTCTCAACGAATTCAAAACCGTAATGAAAATGTGGGAGCTATCTTTGAAAATCCGCTTACAAATGAAGAAAAATTTTCGTTACCTATTTGGACATCTGAAACTTTCGTCAGTTTTGCAGATAAAAGATGTACAACGTCTACGTACGATTTTGTTAATTCAACTGACTCATCAAGAAGACAACCAAGCTTAGGTCTTACTAATATATTGAAATGAAAATAAAGTTAATCATATTATTATAATTGATCACCTGTGTTTTTGTTTGTATTTTTCTGCACTCTGCATTCTTTCTTTTTCGAAAATCTTCTTTTATGTACTCAAAAAGTGAGTACCCTCTAGATTCGGTCAGTGTGTCCGGCCGGCCGTCCGTTAACACGGTAACTTTTGAAAGCCTCATTCAATTGTCATGAAATTTTGTACACAGAATGATCTCATCAATATCTCCGTTGAGTTCGAATATGAGAAGGATCCGCCGAGTAATGGCTGAGCTATCGAAAAAATTGTCATTATTGACCAGACCATCCCTGACAGACAGGAGGGGGGGGGGTACAGAGATTTTTTCAAACAACATTTTTCTCAGAATTATTCACATCATATATAAATCGACTCAGTTTTTGAAGTACACATAACAATCGGATGCAAATCCGATGTTTCCGCATTTTTTTTGTGATAATAACAGTAGCAAATATGCATATAGTTGGAATGTCGCAATTCGAATAAGACTGCATTAGTTTTTCGGCTCTATCAAGTTCTATCAGCAATTTCTAATTAATTGTACATTAGTTGCTGTCGTATTATTTTTGTTTTCTATGTTATTCTGAAAAATATTGAGACACAAATGCATTTCGTACTTTTGTCCATTCGTCATCTGTCATATCTGCATAGACATCATAGAATTGATGAGCAAATAGTTTTTGTGTTGGCACGACTGATTGTTGAGTGACAGGCGAAAATGATGATGAAGCTTGTACTAGAGATGAATTCGTAGTTGGAATGTGTTCGAGGACTTTTCCATAATGATCGGAATCCTGTTCGTTATCTTCATCTTCAAATCGAACAACTGATCTAAGTTTATTTCCTTGTGTTTGAGGACCTAAGACAAGAAAAATTAAGTTTACAAGAATAATTTTCTATTAGAGAGATTTAACAGTAAAATAGAAACTTACTCTTTCTTTTACGTAAACGAGTTTGTTGAGAATTAATCTTTTCTTGTCGCTTCATACGTTGATCAGCTAAAAATTTAACTCTATCTTCACGTTTACGATTTGCTTCTTCAAGAGCTTTATCGTGTACACTGATTTGTCGACTCATGGAAACTTTACTTTCACGTTCGCGAATCATTGACTGTTCATTTCTTCGTTTCCAATTATATTGAATAATCGTTCGACGACTTTGTTTTTGATTGAAAATCACCGAGAAACTCTCAGCTGTTTGTCCGAATGCATCTTTAATATCAAGTCGCGCACCATGAAGCAAAAGTAATTCCATCACCCGTAGCGAACCACGAGCAGTTGCTACCATTAATGGCGTACGTCCTGCGGCGGTTTGATAATTAATGCCAATATCTTTAAAAATAAAATACAATACGATTAGTTTCCTTTTCATGATGATTAATTTACCTTGGTCACATAATCGACGTACAATATTAAGTTTCTCACGATGTGATGCTGTAAACATAGCAACACTACCTCGTTCTATCATATATGCTTTTTTATCGGATGGAGATAGACGATCGGCAATGGCGGATGAGAATGGTATATCTGGTAGAACACCAAGTTCAAATAACTAGAATTATATCATTTTTGAGAATAAAATAATAACAACTTCAATCACCCAAATTGGATTCAAACATAATCGACTGTTTCAACTTGAATAAATTCAACTACTATGATGATTTTGCTATTATATTGTATTCTTTTGAAAGTCATTTTTATAAATGTTGGACAAATTTTATGACTGCTAATCTTTCTTTTTTTTTGAGGAAAATTCCGACGAAAACAGTTGTGTGACAAAAATTTACTTCGTAGATTCTATACAGTAATTTAGAATAAATTTAATTTAAATAATAAGCAAGTCTCTTCTTTGATATCCTTTCAATAGCTTATTCATGCTGACATTAAATAATCGGTCCGAATTTGAATTTTGGAATTATTTTAAAAACTGTTTGTAAAATAAAAGTTACCTTAGCTTCATTATTAGCTACAACAGCCTGTACAATTGGTTCATAAACATACCAAACGCCGAGTTCAAACGTACAATTAGGAACAGGATCGTAATATTTCAGTTTTTGTGAATCAAGCAAATTACCTTCGTCCAAATAGGACAATAATTGCAGATGTGCTGGTATGCCACATATAATTTCAAGAATAGTTTTTAATTCACGAACTTTTGTGTCAAAATGGATAGACTGTATTTGAAATTGTTCTCCTGTCGAACGTAAATGAATATTGAGCATTCGATTGAATATTATTTTAACAGGAATGAATAAAATAGAGTTGACATTATTATTGCACGTAAATTGCTTGTCACGATGGAAGCAAAAATGTGCAATGAATAGAGGGGTCGCTGATTATCGATAACTTCAAGAAGAATTCTAACTGGTGTATTTTCCTTGAGTTTTAGTAGAATGAATTATCAGAAAAACAAATTACTGTTGTCACCATTTGGAATAGAGTACTCTCATTTTTTAATTCATCTATTTCAAGAATTCTTAGTTGAATGCAAAATAATTATGAATATAATTTGTCCGAGCAAGTATTTCTTGTTGAATATTTAGTGAAACATATTCCTAATGATATTAACTGTAAGATAAGATATAAGCAAAAGGTTGTATCTGTTCATTACTATATTACAATGAGATTCTATCGCAGATTTAAGTTATTCTAATCGTATAATTTTATTATTTTAATTAATAAATAGATGAATAACTATGAAAATGCTCGATTTTGATTAGATATTTCTTAAAATAAAATTCAAACATTACTGAATAGATGAATTCATTATTAAAATTTTCTATAGTACAAAAATAAATGTATATAAAAAATGCGTATACCTAAAATAAAATCAATGCACACAGTTCAATATTATATAGCCATAATTGGATTCTCGACACAATTATATGAAGTTACAAACTCAATAGCATTGTAGTCAGCATGGCCGAGTGGTCTAAGGCGCCAGACTCAAGCGTAATGCTTCCTCAGTGAGGTGGAGTGTTCTGGTCAGCGTATGCTGGCGTGGGTTCGACTCCCACTGCTGACACCATTTTTTCTTTTTTTGCGTTCTGTTACTTGTTTTTCTCTTTCTCTCTTTTTTCATTGTTTTCTATGGCGGTAGACAGAATTAGAAGAAAAATCCAAGTAATATTTGTTGACAAACAAAAGTTGGAGCACGTTTTTATTTAAGAGAAATTTAATTTGTTCACAAGCGAAAATTTTTATTTAAAAAAATAGAACTATTTTTAGCTACCAAATCATATTGTTATTTTTCAAGAGTTATTAAGAATGCATGTTATTAACACAACTATATTGATGGCACACTGTATTTCTCATAATACTGTTGATCTATCTTTTACTGTTGTTACAATGATAGATTCAATTACATAAAATGAATTTCATTTTGAAAAAATATTCAAACGCTTGACTACACTCGGCCGTTGTTAGGATCGTATCAGAAGTATCAATATCTTCTTGAGATGGAGTGTAGCAAATTCTTATGTAAGGGCAGTTTTTTTCCTGCATTTACAGACGCGGATAGAAGATATTTTTCAAAATTTTACGCGAGAATTACCGTTTCGAATTCATGGAAGTCGATAGCTATTGTTATGTCAGTTAAAAATTGGTTTGTGATGCATTTAAATAACTCAAAATGTGAATGGCAACTTTTTTCAACAATTTGTTCTTGTTTGTATGAAAAATACAAGACAAATCGTGCACATCGCCGAATCTCAACGTTTACTGTAAATGGTTTATAAAAAGTAAAAATGACGAAGCAAAATTACAATTCATTTGACAGACTCGGAATTCATATAGTTTTCGATATATGCCGTAGATTGTTAGAATACTAGAGAAATCAAATAAAGAAAATGGGATGTGGGCGTAGATAGATCACTGATGATTAAAACAAATTAAAAGATATTGAATATGCTCAGATAATAGACCTAACTGAGTTAGAATTCGAGAATAAGATCTGTTTTCATCGATTTTATTTAAAAAAAAAAAAAAAAAAAAATAGAAAATTTCGACAACGTTATGTTATCCAATAATCAATTCAAATTAGAAATAAAGTTCTATAGAACAGTATTTTCAAAAATATTTTCAATAAAAAGCTATAAGTTAAAAAAAAAGAATTTAATAAAACAATCTCGATTAAATTATAGACTATAATTTACTAATAGATCAATGACACATTGAATTGAAAAAGGAAAATAATTATTGTTCATTTGCTATTTATCAACAGCGAATTTCTTAGCTCTCGCTTGTGCTGTTTCAGTGATTGATGTTACCAATGGAATAAAAAGTACAGATATGATTTCAAGTTCGGCTGGATTTGACAGACGCCATTCGATGTTATTAATGTCATCGTCTGGGTGTGCAACGTAATTCGGTACAGTACATTTATAACGTGTGAATGATTTATCTTTTACAGTACACTCCAATACTGCTATAAGAGATTCATCATCATGTTGAAATTGAACTCCGTAGGCTGGATCTGAGCAATAGTGTATACTTGGTGTAACAAATATTCCATTTGAAAAATCCTCGACACCGAAAGCTTTTACTCCTCGTGCAATATGATTGTTCGGTGGACAAACACGTAATCCACTACACACTACCGTACTTGGCATAACAATTCCATCCATAAGAATTGATTCTATAGCTTTTATATTTGTTCCATGATAAGCAACATGAGGGAACTCGGCTTTGTTGTGTTCACGAATTTTTAAACATTTACAATAAACAGGCGTATCACGGATTTTCAATGGTCTTCCGATACCACCCGGAATAAACATATCTGGTGGCAGACTTAATTGAGAAGGAATAATTTCAACGTGGCGCACAAACGCATGCGTTTCACCTATTGCAATTAAACGTGTTTGGCGTGTTCTATATGTAAACCAATAAGGCGTTGGTGATACCCAATTATAAAGTCGAGCGTGTGGCTCACCATTGTATGATACTATCGGCATGTCGTTTAGGTTAACTTTGGAATCTTTATATTTTGTTATAAAAAAGCAAACACATTCTTGTAACTTGAATAAATCGTAATCTGGCGATATGATGTAATCAATGTTAATTGCAAGATCTTCATTAGCACAATTCTCGGGAAACGTAAAGGATAGGTCTCCAAATATAAAGTTTTGCTTTTCAGCCAATTGACCACGAATTTTCATTGATGAACTTTCACATTTTGATAAAAATTTCCCATGAACATCACGTGTATTATGATTAGGAGGTTCTTGACGAAAGACGTAACCACTATTACCATAGCGTGATCTTTCATGTGCTGTTAGACATAGAGGCAACTGAATGAATTTCGTATTTACATATCGAGCACGACATGCAGCCGATACAATTGTTATACCATCTTGATCAAAATTTAATGGACGTCGAGCCATAGAAAAATTTGTGTACGTTTTTCGCATTTCATCAGGCATTGCTGCAACAAGATTGTTATATGAAGCATCGCAAGTTAATTGTAATGTTGCTAATGGTTTATCACCAGTCGTTTTACCATCACCATATAAATATACAGAAAAAAATTTATTCTCCTCCAAATCAGTTCGATATCGTCTTAAAAGTTTTGTCATTTCGTCCGATTTTGCATCATCAATAGGAGTTGAGCCATGAAAATTTTTTAAACTGACATTAGCTCCATGTGCTAATAATAATTCAACAGTTGAAATATGCCCATTATAGACAGCACCATGTAATGGTGTACTTTGTGAGTCATATAAAAGTTTTAAATTAACATCGGCTCCTTTGTTTAAAAGCCATTCTGCAACTTCATTTTTGCCATGCCGACACGCAACATAGAGTAAATTTATGCCTTTATCATTGACTTCATTCGGTGATTTATCACCAAAATAGTATTGGAACCACCAAGCGACTCCTTTAGCAGCCATATCATACATATTTCGTTTACGCATTAATTCAAATAGATTCGGAATTTTTTCTGGGTGAAAAGCACCTTCTTTTTCAGCTGTCATACACCATTTGTTTAGTAAAAGTGGGTTAGCACCACGATCAAGAAGATATTCAACAACTGCTTCATGGCCACCATAGGCAGCAAGGTGCAAAGCTGAATTTAAATTAACATCAACAAGATCTATATTAGCGTTGCAGCTTTCTATTAACCAGCGAACAATATCTAGATAACCCTTTTTGCTAGCACACTGTAGTAATGTTTGTCGTTGTACATGATATTCTTCATCGATATGTTTAACAGAATTGATATTCTTCTTAAGCCAATCAAGTTGATCTGCAGCTGTTTGTACATAATGTTTTTCTTTCAACTCGATAAACACTTGTCTCACATCACCATTATAACATTCATCTTCTGGTGTACTGCCACCACTGTTTTTTTTTCGATAATCAGCTCCACTTTCCAATAAACAACGAACCATTTCTGGATGTCCATAAAATGAACATACATGTAGAGCCGTACTGCCTCCTCTCTGGGCTAGATCAGGGTTTGCACCTTGTTCTGCTAAATAGTAGACAGCGTCTAAATTACAAGCACGTGCTGCACAATATAGTGTTGTATGTCCTGCGTTTAGATCTCTAGCATCCATCATTCTCAGTGACCCTTTTTGTAAACGGGATTTTAATTGTTCTGCAAGTTCAGGTTCAGCAGCTAATTGCTGTAATGTATATTGTGAAAAAGGTAACTCTGACTCCCATTTTCCAGTTTCATCATATTTTTTATGCTTATCACGATCGGATAATATTTCATAAGAGCGGCAAATAAGTCGAAAATCTTCAGCTGTAATTGTACGCTTTCCAGACGCCTTAAGTCGATCTTGTGTGTACTCATGAATTCTTGCACGATATGCTACGCGCACTTGATATTCAGTGCTACCCTTTTTTACTCGAAGTATGTCATATGGTGTTGACGTTGAGGCTGCCATTTTTTTTATTTGCCAAGTGTGTTACGCAAAAACAAAACAGCCTCGTCTATCAAAAAGAAACAAAATAATCTGGCGAAAAAGCTTTTATTTTTGTTCTCTTTTATATAAATTTTTGTTTTGACTTCTTCTACTTCCTAGGCATATTTTCAAACATTATTCACAGTAAACATTCTTATGCAAGAAAAACTCGACTGTGGCTGTAGTGCTCCAAATAAATTCAGATTTTTCGCAAATGAAAAACAATTTTGATTAGAGGTTTTGATTTTTCCGAGAAGATTCCATCTATCATGCAAACGACATATGACTAAGACATGTATGATTCATTATTGACAATACTAAAAGGAGAGTAAAATTCTTCGTCGTTACATGTTTGTGTTGCACACTTCTTCCTAGCTTCTCTTAAAAGAACTATTCAAATATGCAAAGAAAATTTATTGTGTAGCCAATAATTGTAAAATTTAGGATGTAACCTTTAACTTTATTATATGTCGATGTTAGTATGAGTTTGAAAATGACAAATATTCTTATATTAAGAATAAAGTAATTAACAAAGCTCAGTAATGTATGCAATTGAAGTCGCTCAGAAAAAAGAGTTACCTTTTCCAGACAAAACCTTTCAGCCATATGACGTTCTGGTAGAAACTCTCCGTTTTCAGCGAGCGAATATGTTTAAATGCATGACTAATAGAAATATTTTAAAGAGATGTAATCAATAGTGTTGTTTGGAGAGAAACATTAGAAGAATATTAGTTTTCACAGATATAGGACTTCCCCATCGTATAATTACATAAATAATAGAACAATGATATAAACAAAAGATTATCAAAAAATAAATCAATATCAAGTTTTTCTGCACTATAATATTCCTTCTGATTAAAAAAAATATCGTAATGTGCAGTATAATAATATTCATAATCGTAATACAAATCTATGCCAATGATTGTGGGTGGAATATGTCTTTTAAACATTATTCATTCAAGTTGTGAAATGAATTATTCGATGCGGATGAGGATGTTAATCAGAAGAGTACCCAGCAATCTGCAGTCACAGCCATTCGTAGGCCGTACACCCACGCCCATACACACATGGATTTATGTTGAAACTTTGTCTGAGAAGTACTTCTTAATAATATTATTTTTATTCAATCAGTAATGGGCATCAGCAATTTTTCCACAATATCATTGTCTGATTTTTGCCACAGAGCGAAATAACATGCATAAAATCGAATGCATTGCTTTTCGCTTTTTGTCCAAGATTTAGCGCCACTCGATAATTTATAACCCTGCGCAATTGCATCAACATATTTCCATTCTGCTTTAGCAAACAGCAAAAATTGCCCTATATCGTAGAGACCATCACCACAAACACAATCACCATAATCGATGACACCATTCAAATGTCCATTTAGAACACGAATATTTTCTGAAGAAATATCACCATGAACAAGAACTGGATTGTTAAATTCGGTTAAATAAGGTACCATAGATAAATAAATTTCTTTCAACGGATACTGATCTTCAGTTAGATTGTGAAAATCTGCTTCGAACATTTTCAACCATGACGAATAGACCCCCACACCGGGTTGTTCACTCATATAGCCGAACTTTTTCATCTCGATTGAATGTAACACATGTAGAAATTCACCCAGTTCTTTGCATATTTCAGGTGAAAATTCGTTCCAATCTTGACCTAAATTGAACGATAAATTAATTGAAAGTGACTTTAATATATGAATGTAGAAAATACCTGATTTATAACTCTCGATTAAATAATTTTTTTCGGAATTCAATGCTAATAGCTTTGGACAGACTTGTTCATTTTTAAGTAATTCAAGCACCCATGCTTGGTGTTCAGGTCGGTGCATAGGAAAATAGGACATTCCATTGCCATCAGAACTTAATTTAAATTCAGATGAAATTTTTGATGAATCAATTTTTAATGATCTACGAAACACAATGATAGTATCCGAACAGAATTCGATGAAATAAATAATATTGTCACAACCTAATTTTGATGGTAATCGAATATTTTTGATTGTCTCACATGGAAAATGAGAAGAAACAATTTCGTATATTTCCTCTTTCTCATTCATTTTTGTCTTCTCTGATCAACACATGGAAGACACTCGTTGACTATACCTGATTTCGTCATTCTTAGTAAATATTGAGTCTTGATAGCATCAATAGATGGTGCTCATTGGCACTAAACTTGTCACTGTGATATATCAATGATATTAATGCTCTGTGATGTTTTCTCTTTGATCTGTCGATCATTGACCGCCTTGTTTTCCTTTCTCTCTCTCTCTCTCTAACGAGTTCAGTTGTTGTTTATTATCTTCATCGGCAGTTACCATCTTTATTAATAAAACATCATTATTCTTATTATTAATGTTATTATAAATAACATTAACGTATACTAAAATCTGTTACCTTCCCCATCCTTACTTTATTCTAATTATGTCCAGCAAGTACGGGTAACCCGTTTTACAGTGAACTCTCATTACCTGAAGGCAGATATATTTTCCGCAAAGTTATACTCTAATTTAGCCTACGTTATACACGGAGGATAAAGTCTTATTGGGAGTCTCACAAGTATTCTTATCTTTTATAGTTCTATACACATCAAGGTTGACAAAATATTGAAATGGCAACACATATAAAACTGCTGTAAAAACTGAAAATGGTAAGATTACTCAATGTTTGCCGAGAGTGATGAAATCTTATAGAGTGAATGCGTCTCTTGCATATTTTGATTAAAGAAGCGAACAAAAATGAATGACAAAGAAGATAATAAAGTATTTGAGAGTCGATATAAGCCGTAGTGCGAATAATCATGATTTTGTCTTGTGCCTATTTGCACTCGAATATTAAAAATATGAGGAAGTCGATACATTTTTGTAAGACGAAAGACTCTTTGCCTTCTGTACAATATTTAGATAATAAATATTGGGTTTGCTCTGTTTGATAGCGATGAAATTACCGTATGAACAAAGGCACATCCCTACCTACATATCCTCTACGCTTCTTTTTTTTACCGATTTCCGGCATTCTTCAATGCCACGTATAACAGCGATTGGAAGAAAAAAGAGCTATCAGTCGATGTATTGTCGAATATGATATTTAACAAGTACTGTTTTTATTTCAAAATATATTGTTGTTAAAATTCTATAACGATACTCACCCACAAAAATATTCCTTGCTCAACTACCCAATCAGATAAGTGTAAAGTTCGACTGCTATCCAGCTACATTGAGCTTAAAACTTCCTTTTTTTGTATTACGAGATGTAAAATGGACGCCGATATATGGGTGAACATTAATAGGGCATCCATTCGTACCCTACACTCGCACGCACCCTTCATTTTATATTCAAAATTCTACTGAACAATTTTTGTGAGATCAAGATTAGAAAACTAGCTGTTCTGGGGCATCTTGCAGAGTTCTAATTCAAAAGTAGCAAATAGATATGAGTGTGGAGCATTGCTGTCAGTATTTCGATTTTGCAGCAATGCAAGACCCGCATTTAACACTTAGCTAAATTCATACTCAATTCATAGTTATAGCTAACTACACGCATCATGATTATTTTTGGTTTTGCTCATTTTTTAGTCTCTCCTACCAACGAAACTTATGAATCATATCAAGAGAAATATCCCATTTAAAAGAGCAATTAGTTATATTGGGATTCGTTAGCTTTGTTTTTTGCATCACTATATGGCAGACATTACCCTAATCAGAAATGAGTCGTTTTTTTTCGTTATTCGAATGTGAATTTGTTTTGTCGTTGCAATACAATCATTCAAACAGTAAGAAGAAAATAAGTTTTTGTGCACAAGAAAACATCTTGATTGCTTTTGGTCTTAAGCGAGCAATCGAAGATCTGCGCCACCAATATCAAAAGTCGTCCATTATCGGAATGGAATCAACTAGCAGCGAAGAAAAACAACAAACCAATACTAAAGATATTCATCCTATCATGTAAGATGTTTTTCAAAAATTTATCATGACACATGTGATAAGTTTGACAATAGAAGTGAAATTTCAAAAATAAATCATCATTTTAGTTGAGTAGGCATTGTCACTAGTCATTCAATAGTATCGAATTAAATATAGACTGAAGTACAAGTAAATTCTATTTAACCATTACTAAAAACAAATTCGTCTCGATTATCTATGTATTTAGTAAATTTGAACTAAACTCTGAAATTTTCTTTTCAGTGCTTTCTTTTTAACAATGAAACAAATCCTAAAATTTATCATATAACTTGAAACATATTTGACTTGTGCCCGATCGTAAAATGAAAATTCATAAAATGCTCTCACAAACTTATCATTGTGTAAATAATACAAAATCATTCATTTAGTAAGTCGAAACATGTGCTCTAATAGTTTCTATCTATTCGATTTTAGTCATGTAGGTGCACCATCATCGAGAAATCGTGGTCTTAGCATAGGGCGACTTCGTATATCAGATAACAACGCTTGCTTTGTATTTTTGAAATTTATTTCGCTCTATTTTCATTGTTCTTAACTAGGTATATTCGATGATTCAATCGATTGGGATGTAATTACAGAGGGAAATCATGGAACTGTATATAAGATGAAACACGGGCAAAGTGAAACTCTAATGGCAGTTACAATAATTGATAACATTTATTATAATGATTAGCTTTTCTCAAATTTTATTCAGGATATTCCTTCGATTGATGATAAGCCATGCCAAAAACAAATGCTCACTAAGTTAGATAGATTTATGCGTGAAAATACTTGTTCACATATTTTACAATTTTATGGAGCTCTTTGTCACGAGATTGTTATTTTAAATCGAATTTGGTAAAATTAATTTTTTAACTAATTTAGCGCTGATGTTGAATATTTATGGAATTAATGAATGCATCACTCGATCATTTGTATACCTTTGCTTATCATAAACTTGATCAATTTATAGCCGAAAATGTTCTTGCCTATATCATATTTGTTGTAAGACATTATCTTAATAAAGTACATTGAATTAAATTGGAATTTTTCAATGAACTCTACAAGCACTTGGTTATTTGAAATCTCGTTGGAATATTATTCGTCCAAATGTAAAACCTTTGAATATTTTAGTTTCAAGAACAGCAATAAAACTGTTTAATTCTGGAATTACTAATACAACATTTAATCAATATCCTCGTTACCACGGTTTAGATTCCCGTGTATATTTGGCAGAAAAAAATTATCTAAGTTTTTTTTTTCTAGTAATTTTTGTATGTATTTTAGCATGAACGCATTGATCCAATAGAAATAATTGGCGATGATTATGATGAACGATCTGATGTTTGGTCACTTGGATTAACCATTGTAAGTCTTTTGTACCCAAACCAAAGAAATATAACTCTATGTTTATTTTTCAGTATGAATTATCTACAGGATATTATCCTTTCGAAGGTAGAACAATTCCGTTTGACAATATGAAACAGATTGTTTTCGGACCTTCATTAGAACTGACACTCGATCGACTTTCTGATCATTGTAAAAACTTTTTAAATACATGGTAAAATAATATTTCCTTATTCGATTTGCTTCACTTACATTTTTTCTAGTCTAAATAAAGATCGTAATCAACGGTCAAAATATGAACAATTGTTGAAACATCCATTTTTACAACAAGAAAGCGAATCACAACAAATGGAATCTATTTTTGCTTATTTTCCTGATACAATTGATCGTCTTCAACAGAATATGAATGAATCTAAATGATACTTTTAGTCTATCTTTAACTTCTCGATGAATATATTTTGTTTTTGAACAAGAGTTTTATTCAAGAAATATTGTACCAAAATTTTGTTAAGCAAATGTTGACTAATTTTATCAACGCATAGACAAGTCTGTTTGGATGCAGGAAAATAAAATATCAGCTAAATTTCAAATTGAACTTTTCTATCAACGATGCTTGCGACAGTAGCAAGACTTTTGACTCCAAGAAGAAATGCTAAATATAATTAACAGAATAGTTATGCTAAATAACATAACATAAGACCATTAAAATTAATATCGCTGAAGTGCAGTTTTGGTTGTTACAGAGCGGGTAATGCTTTTGCTTGTCTACAAGTACAAATTCATGTTCAAGATTTCAAATAGGATGGTTTGACTTTCTGCAATCACCATAAGAATAAAATAGAAAGTTAAAGTTGGCGCAACTATAACTTTTTGAGTTTGAAGTAATCAATATCAATGTCTCTGAGTTTATCAAAATGTGTATAGTAATATAATTGCAATCAATGGTAAATATACGTATAATGTGAATATAATCAAATTTCCTCCCGATGATACAAAAAAAGAGAGAGAGAGTGAGTGTGTGTGTTTGGGTATGTGGATCTTCATGATTTCTTATTTACATCCAACCGCACTCCCACCCGTACATTTATAGTGTATCTTCAGCAGTGAATATAATTCATACGTACAGTACAGAATTTAGGCAAATTGAAACTCGGCTCATACGATTCAAAATTTAATTAATATCTTTTTTCTAATTTTAGAACTCTAAATAAAACAATTCCTTATCTGTTCTTGTTTATCCTAAGATTCGTATAAGCGAAACTGATCTCTGATTATTCTTTCATCATTTTCTATTTTCTTCAAATTTCCTTAAATATCAGATGTCTTTTGTTCTTTCTGTCTCAAAAATAAAAGATGAACTGCTTATAGGTATGTAGGAATCTATTCTTTTTTTTCTTTATTTAGGAAATAATCATATACAAAAACTAACTAACAAGCAATTTAAAGAAATAATTTTTGTATTGCAGTACAACTATTAGCTATCAGCCAGTACGAGTTATCCTAATAAAAGGTTTTCGATTATGTACATCTTGAGCAGTTTGCCAACAAAAGTTTTATTTTAGTTAATCTTCTTCAATATTCGAATCTAATTCAGTCTGGGTTAGAAAGATGACACTCACACTCACAAGCGAATGACAACACGAGAAACAAAAATACAGCCCCGTTGTCATAGCAATGAATTGTCCTTGTACAGTAACTTCATTCTGCTAGCGATTTTTCACTTGATGCGTTCCTCATTAGCGTAATCAGGCACAAGATTACATATGAATTGTATATTTGACTTCCGATGGCACTGTACAAGCAAGTATCTCTTCTCATGAACATGCAGATTTCGTGCTATTGGAAATCATGACGTTCAGTTAACTTTATCGAAATTTTTATTTCCATCTATCAATTCATTGAATTCGATTCGACCAGTAGCAATAAGGATTCAAATCATACGCTTTTTTTCTCTCTCGTTCGCTCAATTGCGGGATGATCTTTCTTTTTTCTCTTTGCAAAAAATATTTGTACAAAAAGAAAACAAAAAAAAAGAATGAGAACAAAAGAAAAGAAAACCGAACAAAGTAGTAGAAGAAAAAGAAAACCAAACGACAATGAAAAAAAAAGAGAAACATTATATATCGTCTGCAGCGATAATTCTAATAAACAAGTGAACTCTTTATTCAAGTTTAATTGTCTGCTTTTTTTTGAACGAATCAATCTTATGCAAAAGTTCTTTCCATACTTGCAAATACTTTCCACATTACATAACAAATATATGTAAAGAAACGAACAACACTCAATAATAGTCAATAATAGCAGGTAGGACGGAAGAATACAGAATGACAACATCAACAACAACAACAAAATTGCCGGTGTTTGCTTTGTTTCTTTAATAAGGATAAACGTGCATACATATATTTATATAACTCTCTACAAAATGTACAATGTTTTATAAAGAAAAGGGCAACAGTAGACACCAAATAAAATATGGTTGAAGAGAAATATACGTGAATATGTATACATATATATATATATATATATACATTTGTATATATATATATATCGATAGAGAGAGCGAACATATAAAAATCTAACTTAAAAGAAAGAATGCTCATCACTGCACAGAAAAAGAAATGAAAAAAACACAAAAAGAAATGAAAAAAGCACAAGAACAACAAATAATATGTTTATTTTAATTCATCCATTTTCGGCAATTAGTTGCACCGCATAAACACGGAATTTTCGAATCCTCTTCAAAATCAAATTTATAATCGTACATTATTTCTTCACCTTTAGGAATACGTCGATTAGTTATGATTATAATTTTGCTATCTTTTTCTATTTGTACAACTTCAGCAATTGAATTCGGCTATTCGGAGGAAGAAAAGAAGTAATTAAAATTAAAATTAAATTATTTCCTACCTCGCACGAATGATTTATATAACGAGCTAAACAACCGCTCATTGTTGCATCAACAACATTTTCTTCATCTAATCGAAACATATAGATTCCACGATTTTGCTGTTCGTATAATTTTTCTCGTTTATTAGCAACTTCATTTCGAATTAATTCACCAATATATTCAATAACCATGGTATGTTTTTCAAGATCACGTCCAGCAAATAAACCTAAGCCCTAGAAAAGTAAAAAACAAACAATTGATTATGATTCCTCAACAAATAACGAGTCATTATTTGAGAAATTGAATATACTTGAATACGTGATTTGGCAAGAAATACATTTTGACGCCATTCCGTTTTTAATTTTCGATATTGAGTTGATTTTGATAGAACGAAATGTTTAACATAAGGTATTTGAGTACCTAAAATATCCAAAAATAACTTTCGAAAATAAAATTCATTTGATTATGCTTTTGTTACCTTCTACACCGAGTACAGTTCTCGGTAAAGCACTTCGAGCTGAGTGTGAACTTGTCAATGTTTGTGCATGTCTAAATATTGATTTTATTTTTAGATATATATATATATTAAAAATTTATGTTATATGAATTTAATTTCGGATCAATTTATTCTGTATGACTCGTCTATGAATCATAAATGCTAGTGACGTTGTTTAGTGAAAAAAAGACTGAGTGCTCATAGAACGATAGATTCATGCTACTCTGATTTACTTGAGACTAATTAACTTTGTTTCATAATGATTTCTTCTCTTCCTGATACTGTGAATTTTCATAGTTTATAAGCGTACGCTGTAATTTTGTTGTCGGAAAAATCTACTTAAAATAAAATTTATTTTTACCGTCGAAAATGTGTTTGTAATTTGGGTTCACTTCTTGCACAGCCTGTTGGATTAAGTGTCAATGGCATATCAAGTAACTGTAATCGACCATATTTAAATGCATAGTTTTGTAACATTTCAACACCTGGCAATGATTCAATTAAACGTATAATATGTGGTTCCTAAAATATTTGAAGAAAAATATTAAAAATAAAATTCTTCCGTTGACTTCAATTTAATTACAGTAAATCCGTATAGGTCTTCACCACTAACAAATACTGAAAACATTTTCACGAGGCCATGTTGTCGTCTCAATGAATCAATTTCATCGACAATTTTATGCCAAACAGCTTTAGCACTTGATTCAAGAAATTCTTTCGCTGGTTCGTCTTCATTTTCTTGTATACGTATTCGAAACATGGGTCTATTGTCAAGATTAATTATTGAACAGTTATAAGCACAACGACGATTAGGACGACGCATTGACCAATAAAATCGTGTTACAGAATATCCAACCTAATTTAAAGCAAAGTTGATATATTCGTTTGGATACGAAGTAAAAATATATAACTTACGGGATAGATGAAATTTCGATTATGAAATAGAGCCGATTGTAATTGATGAGGCAGTAATTGACCGATATTATGAAGAATAAGACTACCGATGCGGAGTATATAAGAAATTTCTTCATGTTCTTCAGTCATGTAACTAAAAGATAAAAAGAATAAGTTTTAAGAGAATTTGCAAGACATACTTCGCAACGATAATAACTATAGAAATTACATGAAGTATGAATACTATGTGAAGAGTTTCATGTTTTAAACTCATGTATGCAGAGCTTTGACACTATTTGTATAAGTCTGTAGGTTTATTTCATGGTAGGAACAAATAAAAAATACTGGATTTTTTTATTAAGAGAAATCTCTACACAGAAAACTAGTGGTGATCATGTTATTTTCGAGGACTAAAGTATTTATTTAAAACTTACGGTAGAACTGTAATATCTCCTAAGTGATCGAAAGTAGTTTATCACTCGCAGATTTCCGTGAATCGAACACAAAAATAGTGAGAAGACTTTTTTGTTTTGTTCTCTATTTTAATACATACTTTTGAATTTGTTTAACTTCATCTCTATTGATCCAAACTTTACGAAAGACGGATTTATCGTCAAGTATTTGATCAATAGCTATCGTTCGTGATGCATGAACTGGACACATGATTGTCTTAAAAAAAATGAAAATATCCTAACGAAATGCACAATTAATTTTTCATTCTTACTTTATTCTTATAAAAAACACAACCATTACTGACAGCACATGGAAAATGATATGTATTCGGACAACGTTGAAAAAAGCACGTTAAACTGGCACCTTTTTGTTTACATGATGCACATTCTGTATAAACTGAACGTTTGTGTGCTTGTTCAACACACATCAATGCACCACTAACTGTCTCATAGACTTCTGTTGACCATAGAGCACAATTTAAATGACACCATTGGCCAACATCAAGATTAAGTAGTCTATAATACAAAATAAAAATGATAGTTTTTCCTGTTGAAAAACGATAAAAATTCATCTACCTTCCAGGTCCATTTGTTGTCAAATCACCAACACCATTGCAAAAAGCACAAATACGTTTATCGTGTTGACCATTTCGTGGCAATGGTATTCTCATATCAGAAATTAATTGTTCAATTTCTTGTGTATTCGATGGTCGTATGACAGTTTTCAGTGTAAAACTAGGATCCCATCGTTTCCATCGTATATCTTTCCATCGTTTATCACCGTTTGACTAAACAAAAACAGGTACACATTTCATAATCACAAAAATATTTGTTTTACTTTATTAAGGTTATCTTGCCGTCGTTTGACTGATAAACGTTTCGATCGCCCATTAGGCGAATCATTTAAATCATTGGGTGTACAAGGTGGTGATGTAGTTGCATCCATAGGTTCATTTTTAATTGTAGGCGAATTATTAATTGACGTATTTATTGTTAATGCTTGTTGTTGATTATGCGTAATTGATATACAAGTATTAAAACATTGTTCATTACAAAAATAAACAAATGGTTCGGAGTTCGGTATTAATTCTCTAACAGCTGCCGGTAATTCAGTTAAACGTTTTTTAAATAAATTATCTGATGTCAATCGTTGTGTACAGTTACGGCAATATTTCGGTTGCATTTCAATTAATGATTGAATACTAACACATGTTTCACGACCGACTTTATATGTTGACGATGAACGACATACTGTCGATATTTGAGGAATTGTTGATGCTGATGGCGCAGATAGAAAGTTTTTTGAATCGCCATTATTATTTAATGTTGTCGAACATAAACAGTTCGGATCAAATGATGATGAATAATGAACATTAGAGTTATTATTTAATGTTTGATGGACATCGAATGTTGATGGATACGCAATTTTAAGTAGATCAGCAACAGCAGCAATAACACTTTGAACATTATTTGCTGCTTCAGTTGTTAATGTTAATGTAACCGATACCTATTTTCGGAAGAGACAATAATAATAAATTTTAAGAATATATATGTAATAATTAATGATAGGTAAGTCTATTTACTCATAGATCAAATAGAATAGAATATAATTAAGATTTACAATCACAAGAAACATTCCTAGCGAAAAGCTCGACTGCATGACGATGCATATTACTCTTCGTATCCCATTACAAAGTTAACATTCTGAGATTACATATCAGTTCCGAAAAAAGAAATGGAAGCGATTCTAGTATCCCATGTAAAAAAATTGGATTAATAATCAGATTAAAAATCGATTATAATGGCACTATTTTAATCTGATTTCAATCAGATTTTTCTACCTTAAAAGGCAGATTATTTTTGATTTTGATCTTATTTGAATCGATTATTATAGTTTTGTAGGTAATCAATTAAAATAGATTAAAATAAAATCAAAATCAAAAATAATCTGTCTTTTAAGATTGAAAAATCTGATTATAATAATGCCATTAAAATAGATTTCTAATCGCATAAAAATCAATTATAATCAGATTTTCTACGATTTTGCTTTACATGGGATTACAATTAAGTAGGCTATTGAATTTTAAATGATTTCTGACTTTAAACGAGATTAGTTACCTTATCAGCTCCTTCAACAATTAGTCGATCTTTCTTATCAAGTTCATTTCCACTCGGTGATGCGCTTGTTGTTGTTGTTGTTATGTCGTTAACTTCTTTTTTAATATCTACTGTTGGCATTGTTGTAGTTGATGATGGTAATAGTAATTCACTGTTCTTTGTTGCTGATATATCATTAGATATTAATACAGGACTTAATGATCTTAAATCATGATTCGATGCTAATGTTTTAAGTAAATGTAAATTTTCTGTTTCAATATTATTCATCATAAGATCATCATCAGCTAATGTCGATGTTGATATAATACTTTCGTCATCGCGTATATCATTATTTTGTTCTTTTAATAACAAATCAGATAATTTATCATTAGAATCGAAAGCTAATGGTGGCGATGGCAAACTTGGCGGATGATCAAGTAACGTGGAACATAGACGATAACGTCTTTCAAGCATTGATAATGAATTTGAAGCTAAAATTTTGATACAGAATGAAACTAAAACATTCTATATTTATTAAAAAAAACCAAAACTCACAAGACGTTGAGGATATAGGCTTTGGCGGTGGCCGTCGATATGGTCGATAATAATCTTGAAGATTTTCAATAAAAAGACTACCAAATTCACCTTGATATTGATATTTTTTATCAGGTAAATCAAATGGTAATGATATTGATAAATCATTATTGATATCAATTGATGGTTCAAGCGGTGTCAACATTGGTAAATCACGTAATTGCTGTAGTGAAAGTTCAACAAATTTTTCTGCTTCTTCTGTACCTTTTTCTGAGAAATAGGAAAATTTAGTTTTGAATGAAAATCAACATTTTTTTTTTGTGAAACATACTTTTACGTTTTCTTGCTTTTGTCGGTACATCATCTTCGAATGATGTACTCAAATCATTAGCTTTACGTTTTTTACGGGGTTTAGGAATTTTCACATTTGGTATTGTTGGTGCTGATGGATTTGGTTGATGTGATTGTGCATTAAGAGATTGATTATATAAATGATGATTATTATTTGAATAATTGTGTGATGAATTATCATGAATATTCATTGGAGAACTATCATATGGATCATTACTATCGGTAGACATACCATTTGACATTGTATTGATAGGTCGTGTTTTTAATACAGTTGCAGCCATTTCTTCTGAATTCTACATGAGAAGAGAAACTTTTTTTTATAGAAGCAAACAAGAAAACGAAATATTAAAAAGCTTACAGCTTGTGGATTAATTTGTAATAACGATTTAAGAATATTATCATCTGTCGTCAGCATACTCGTCGGTAGATGAAGAACTTGTTGTGATATAGATTGTTGATGTTGATGTTTTTGTTGATTTATAAGACTATCATTCATATGCAGATTAGATTGATGTGAATTTATAGATTGTTGTACTTGTTGTGACGGTGGTTGTTGTCCAGATGTTCGATAGAGAGTATTCGGATCGTATATGATAGGTGATTGTTGTTGCATAATTAGTTGAGGAGGAGGAGGTGGCGGCTGTAGAGGTGCTCCACGTGAACTAAATGCATTTGGTGGTATCATTCGAGGTTTCATCATTTGATAAGCATTATGTTGTGGTTGCTGTGGTGTTTGTATCATTGGTGGATAACGTAGAACAACAGTAGATGGACCCGTTGGAGTTCCATTGGTTGGTATACCAGGTCTTATTGGTTGCTGCTGCTGCTGCTGCTGCTGTTGTGATTGTATTTGTTGTTGAGGTTGTAATTGTTGTTTTACTTTACTAATACCAGTAACGGTTGTGACAGAAGATGAAACCATTGGACGAGTATTAACATAAATACCAGTTGGTGCATGATGAGTTGAAGGTTGAAGCGGATGATGTGATCCATGAGATGAAACATTATGATGATTATCTGATTTATTTTGTACATTTGTTTGCTGTGGAGACATAAAATTATTATTCGCACCTGGTTGTTGAGATGACTGATGCATAGGAAAACCCAGTATAGCTGGTGTGATAGATGCTTGATTTATATGATGCATATTAACACCTAAATTATTTGTTAAGGGTGATGGGAGAGGAATTAATGATGTAACCGATGGTGAATTCGATGGAGGTGGTGATGGTTCAGTCGTACCTGGTTGAGATGTTTGTCTTGTCATAGGAACATTAATACCATAATTATTTAGTAAGTCTTGATTAAATCGTACATGATGTAGAACAGTCTGAGACTGTAGTTGTTGTTGTTGTTGTTGTTGTTGTTGTTGTTGTTGTTGTTGTTGTTGTTGTTGTTGTTGTTGTTGTTGTTGTTGTTGTTGTTGCTGCTGCTGCTGCTGCTGTTGCTGTTGCTGTTGCTGTTGTATAATATTACGAGCTGTTGATATATTTGTTAATGTACCATTATTGGATGTTTGTGATTGTGAAGGTGACGGCTGTGGACGTGCTTGTTGAGATGGATGACGTTGAAGATTTGTAGACATCGATGGTGATAGCATTGATACATCATCAGGAGTTTGATGTGGAGTACCAGGTGTTGGAGTCCGGGATATTGTACGTGGTGATTGTACATTAACTATATTATGCTGTTTTGAAGGTGATGGACAATGAAGAAGATATTTAGATCCACCCAATAAATCATTAGACGACTAAAGAAAATCAATAATAACAATCATTTATTTTTTGTAAATTTTATTTAACCTACATCTTCAATATGTCGTATGGAATCTTCAAATGGATTTTGAACGACAATCGTCCTGAAAGCAAACAAAAAATTCAATTGTCAATAAAAAAACAAGAAAATTAAACGCTTATAAATATCATACATAGATTTCGATGGATTATTTGAATTGTCAATACTTGCTGTTCGCATCATTGGTGAATGATACGATCTTACATCAGTTGGTGTACGTGGTGCATTGACAATCGTGGGATTATTTGAATTTGTTGAAACTGAACGCATATGTTGTGTTGTACCATCCGTTGTATAAACATTATCTGTTATGATATCAAGTTTAGTTGGCGGTGTTGCTGATACTGGTTCGTTCATTATCGATCAACATTCGACAAATCTATTGTTTTAAACATGTACATATATAAATACTGTTCTTGCTGAGATCAGCAGAAGATATACATCTAAAATATATATAAGATAAAAGACCAAAAACAAAAGAAAAACAAAGAAAACGACAGATGATATTATCTACAAGTTCATAATCGAACAACATGAAGCAATCTGCTGTTTTTTCGAAGTTTTTTACTCTTCTCTGGAAGTTGAAATTTTCAATGGCTAATATAACCGGAAGACAAAAACAGAAAAAAAAAACAAAAAAAACAAATCAGTAACCTAAAATCACAAGAAAATCTACTGTCGATACTTGTTCACAACCGGATGTTGATCGCATTGGCTCAATAATGCGAAGACGAAAAAAAAGAACACAATCAAACAAATGCAAAACGCAGCACCACAGAAAGAAAAATCACATTACAACTGAAGATGCACCATTAGATAATATCGATGATATGAGTTCAGCTACTACAGTACGTCCTGATTCTTGAGTTGACGATAATGGAAAATAATCATACTGTTGCGTTGATAAATTATCTTGATTTAATGGAATGTAAGATGAATCGCATATTACATTGTGTTGTTCATTATATGACAAACGTGGTTGATAACGATAACGATTAGAACTATCAGATTCAATGGGAATGTCACCATGGCCAGATATAACATTAAAAATAACTTCATCAATTTTTTCAAGGACATCAATTGGTACATCTAAATAATAAATCAATAGATACATATTTAACGTAATACAATAATATACTTTGTAATATATCAGTACGTGCTGTTGATTTTTTACCATTGGAAATAATATTACTTTCTGAATAGGATGTATCAATATTTGTATTTATTTGATGTCCGTTCGACGATGAAGATAAGACATCAAAACAAGATGTTGATCTCATTGGAGATGGATATTGTTGTAAGAAATCCGATGAATTATTATAAATTGAATCTATTGAAAGAGTAAAAAAAAGTAGAATGATATGTGAAATGATTTCAATTAAGTTTCATTACAAGGAGGTGTTTTAGATTGATATTTATTAGTTTTTGTTAGATATAAAGCAGAAGAATCTTTACCGAATGATGATGAAGATGATGTATGAAGATCAAGTGATGGTAACTAAATATGAATTGTTATTATTTATTAATCAAGAAAAGATCTACTTTTTCTATCTCTCTCTCTCTCTTACTGAATGTTGTTGATAAGATGGTGTTTGTTGAATACTATTCATTGAATATTGTACTGGTGTCATGCAGTGTTGTTTATCAATGATCATGGGTTTTTGTAAATTATCATTTTGAATTGGTTGTTCATATGCTTGAAATAAATGATAGGATTCATCGATACCTGTTGATAATTGATTACGCTTTAGATTAGAATTTGAACAGTTATAATCGGGTGATTGAACTAAATCGTGAAAAGAAATTAGAATCAACGTAAGAGTTTTTAGTTTGAATTGCCTGCTGATAATAATCGTCCATCTGAACATGAATAATTTCCATTGATGATTGATGATTGATTTAAATGCGGTGGGGTTGGTAACCATGGCATCGGACTAAATGATAAAATTTTATTTTAATTAAAATAAAATTCTTAATGAATTACTTACTCATGATGGCTAGTTTGTTTATTTGTTTGTAAAAGAAGAGAATTTTTTAATGGTCCAACTGTTGATTCTTCTAATTCACGAGCCATATTTCTAATGATTTGATTTGGATTATTTGATTGATAAATACTATTACTGGACCAATCCATAGCTTTAAAAAGAAATAATCATACTATTAGTAAAATCTACCAAGAATAAAAATGTGAAATACGATCAAATTGTTTATATATGTATCTTAGGATATTTTTCTTTATTTACGTAATCAGATATCTAACTGAAATGGTATTCATAGACAGCCTGATAATATATGGTTTAAACTTATGTATAAATGCTAATGGAATCGTCTTTTTTATGCAACAAGCTCTACGAGTAATATTTAATTTGGATCGTATATCACAAAACAGAAAAGAAAGTTTTCTTCGTTCTTAAATTACCCGAAGAGTTATCATTTAGATTTGGTTGATCAACAAATTCAATAAACTCCCAAATATCTCCAGATGAATTACCTAGAAATAAATTTAGTAAATTACACAAAACCAATAAATATGCTTCTCACATGGTGGATTAGGAACTGGATTCAGTATATAATCTACTAAATCTGTGAATTCTTCATTACCGAAAATAGGTTCTATAAATAAAACTTTAAAATACATATAATCGAAAAACTCTATCTCATACGCATTTCAATATCGTCATCATTTGATATTGATAACGGTGATTTTTTCTTTGTTGTTAAATATTTAATTGTATCAGGATCAAGTTGAATTGAATATTCATTAGTTAAACATTTCACATTCATTCTTGATTGATCATGACATAATAATTCATCATCTAATGGATTTTTAATTTGATTTTGATTTGCCAGATGCATACCAAAAAATGCCTCCTAAATCAAGCATGAAGATCAATTGTAACAGAAAAATCAAATCAACTCATTTACCTGCATTTCTGGAGGCATGTGCTCTTCAATAATCGTCTTTCGTAAACGCTTATTCTTCGTACGCAATAATTCACTATCCATATGAAGTAAATCTTGACGACGACGATTACCACGAATTTTTACAATAAATCCACCGATACCTGCACAATCAATAATAATTATTGTAGGAAAATCAAATTTAAAGAACTTTACTGCGAAACAAGAATCATATGTAATATAAAAGAGGGTTAGTATCATGAAAAAGAAATATCGAAAACTTTCGAACTTTTGGAAAGAAAGATGATTTCATGATGGATATGTTTTTTTATGTTTTACAAATTCAATCAATTGGTGTTCGTAAAATGAACAAGTTTTCTTTTAAGTACAGTGCAAATTTTTGTAGAGCTTTCATATAGATCAAATGAGTCAAAATGATTGCACCAATGGATATTTTGAAAACATTTCAATACATTGTAGGTTTCCTTTAATGCTTGTTATATTAAAACCTTGTATTAACAAAGATACATTAACTATTCGGTGCAAAATCATATTAATTATCAAGAAGTCAAAAAAATATTTTTCTAGTTAGACCCACAAAGTGACTGTCTGTTCAATGCGTACAATTGAAAATCACAAAAAAGCTGTTTCTGAACATAAAAAATATTTTTCTCTCATTGTTTTCTATTAAACAGTATTATGGTCATTTTCACTCGTTAGATTTAAATGAATGATTCTTTGTCCGATTCACCTCTACAAAAATAAAGTGAACCTCTTCTATTACTCTTATCTATTCATCTTTGAACGATTTTAACGAAAGAAAAACAACCAAAAGTAAACTTTTCATAGAAAATATACTTGACTGTATGGCAAAACTTAGAATAAAAGAAAACTTGACACATGAATTTTTATCTTTTATCGTGATCTAGGTGTTTCTTGTTTGGTTGAATCATAAATTAACAAGATAACATTTGTTGATTTACCTGTATATTTTTTAATTGCAGATTTTTTGATTTGTTGATCATTTAATAAATGAAGTTTTTCTTCGTCGGAACGTTCATCATCATTAATTAATGTTGAATTGGTTCGTTTGAAAGAATTTTGATTTTTTGCAACGGATTGTTTTGATTTTCGCGATGGATTAGTTAATACTTTCGGCCGAATAGATTTCAACTGTGCAATACCATGATCAGTTAAATAAACACCTTCATCAAATTTAACAGATTTATTTTGTAAAATTTGTTGATCATCTATTGATGAATAACGCATTAATGTTAATGTCGATTGATCTGATTTACATAAGAGACATAAAAAATTCTGTTCATTACATTGTTTTTCGGCCATTTCCTCTGTAAAAATATTCACACACATACTATGACACCAACGATTACAATTTGTACATTGTATTATTAATTCATCTACATGATATTTACGTAGACATAATGGGCATGTATTTAATGAATAACATCGACCACATTCAGTATAATTATTTTCCCATTGACAATCAACACCTGGTGTTGTTGAGCCGCATTTTAAACAGCGAACACACCTGTAGAAAATATATATAAAATGAATTTCTTTCTTTCGACTCAACGTATTACATAAGTCCTAAGGCGCGGCACGATGAGTTTTGTATAGAGACACCGAATAAACTCGACATGATTTAAATGCTCGTATATATCTTTTTGAGTGGATTAAATATGTAAAGATGAATTAGACTGATAATGTTTTCTTTTGTATGCTGCTAAACATGTTTGAAGCACAAGAATAAGAACTTCAAACTCTTTATAACCCATCACTGAAACGTCATGATAAGTAGCACTAACCGCATGAAAAGCATTAATAGCTTTTTCATACGTAATCAATCAACACTTTATTAACAAATGACGTTGATCGATGAGAAAAAATTTATTTTTACATTTGCATGTATCTATTTGTGATTGTTTTCCCAATAATTTATCCTTCAGAAGATTGATAACAGAAGCACTCGAGATTTCTACAGTAGCACGCGGTTAGAGGTTAGTTTCTGTCTTTTTTCTTTTCCTGACTAATTTGATTGTGCCTGAAGACTTATGAAAATATCCTACGAAAAAGAAAGTATTTTTTTACCATTGACATTTCCAATTGCCTTTTGGTACATGATCAAGTGGCGGTGATAAACAATACGTATGATAGGATATATCACAATCATCACATAATAAAAGTTTTGCTTCATCAGTCGTTTTTCCACAACATTCACAGACAGTACAATCAAGACATCGCCAACCTTTATCAAAAATTACTTTTGAAAACTAAATAAAATTTTTTAGATGAAAATATTTTTTATGAGAGTATAAGAAATAAACAACAAACCATTTTTGTAAATCCAACACAGTAAGGATGATAACTTTGTCCACATTGTGAACATGATATCAATCGACCTTCTTCATTTACACCAATACTACCACAAGTGACACACATATCCTAATTAACAACAAATATATATATGCGAAAATAATTATAAAAACTAGCCTGTTTTTTTTACCTGAGAAATACCATAGACTTCATTCGACGAACATAAAACCGTAACTGAATGATGTTCTTCATCGTCCTTCACTGTTTCTCGATGAATAGAACGATTTTCCTACAAGAAAAATTCACTACACGAAATCATCGAAATAAAAACACTCTTACATTAACAGCTGTCGTTGTATTATAGTCTTCTTTTCGTACTTTAATCGGTCTACCACGTGAACTAGATAATGTTTTTTGATATTGCATCGGTAGGATATTATCTGAATTTGATGTATAAGATTCTGGACTTATTGATTGTGATGGTGTTGGTGATTCAGAATTTAATCGAGGATGACGACGTGGTATCTAATGAAAGTGTTTACTTAATAAAAATTTCATCTATTATCTTCATACTCGTCGAATACGTGTTCGAATTGTTATATCTGAATTATTATACACTTGTGCAGGTTTTCCTTTTCCATATTTACTGTTAAGACGTCCACCACGTGTTGATGATATCACCGGTTTTGCTGAAATGAGTGGCTGAAATGAGATAACACATTGTCATATCGATGCTTTGAAAATTCAAACTTACCTCGGGTTCAATACATGGCAAAAATGTATGTTTATCACAAAATAAATCATTAACATCTGTCAAGCAACTATTGCAATTGATTTCAGGGTCAACTATAAAAGAAAAAACAAAATTCATGCATTTATTAATACACTCATAAGAAAATTTTGTTACAATTAATTCCTACAAAATCTGATTGATCATCAGATAATTTTCTACTTGACCTATTGAAAAAATCTTGCGAAGACGACTCATCAGTAAATCTTAAAGGTACGAAATAAATATTCAAGTTATTTTTTTATTGAATACAATTTATATCTTACCGCTCATCATCAAATTGTTTTGAGTAAATTCCTGGTTCGGTAGATGTACTGTTCTAAGCATAAATAACAAAAAAAAGAACTTTAATTAAGAGTTCTTTTTCCTCATGCTTCTTTCTATTATACCTGGAGCATTTCGACTGATTGGAACAATTAAATACCACGAATATATCTTAGAACAATCGTGGTGTTATGCGTACTGTTCTAAAAATTGATCATCATTTGTTTGTTTATTTTTTTAGCCTGAGATAATAACAACAACAACATTTGACAAATACTAGTGTCGACCTCTGCTGAACGTGGCTTTATAGATAATTTAAGAGAAAATTATTTAAAAAATTTATTTTAAGATCAATTTAATCTTTTAATTAAATTACTCAAAGTTCTAAATACTCATTAATATTGTGAAGAATAAGCTTAAAAAAAGAAGATTTGAGATGCCATTATGAAATTCTCTCATCATCTCTTGAGGTCATTTGTCACGCTTGATAACTCACTGCTGAAATATGAATTGTCCATAAAAATTAATATTTTTTAAATAATCGAATTTTTTAAATAATGACAATAAAATGAATGGAAAAAAAGTCGAAGAAAATATATTTGGGGATTATAGCGACTTGAGTATTCATTGGATAATTCATAGTTCAATGAAAAACAGTTTAAAGTCATAGACCCCAAACAGACCAAAAAAATAAAACAGAATTAAGCAACGTGATTGGTTAATTCACACTTAAGTCATCTTTTTGAGACGATTTAGTGGTTAATTCTGTTTTATCTTTTTGGTCTGTTTGGGGTCATATACACATTTCATTTATATATATATATATATATATATATATATATTATACATAAGGAAGGAAAAGAAAATACGACAAAAATAACAAGTGCCATGTACAATCGATATTATTATCAAAACAAATCTCATCAGCCCCTGCAATATTTATAGTACTGGCCTATACAAGTTAGACAATGTGTAAATCGAACAATATTGTATGTATAAGAGTGAATGTGTGCATGTTCGAAATTTTTGTCACAACTAACTTTAAAGCTGAATTTAGTGACGAATAAGAGATTCGGAAAGCTTGAAAAGTGTTTTTCACATTGTTCCAAATTGTTTCCCTTGCGTTGAGTCTCCATTGATATAACATTGTAGTTAATTATTGTTAAAATTTTTCAGCCTCGATGCTTCCATTACTTACTTCTACTGAAGAAAATCAACTAAGAAAGACTGAACGACCATTTGTCGTATCGGTCTTTAAGAACTGCTGCACGCTGCTACTAACACTCACTAACGATGTTTTTTGATTATGCTTATATAAAATGATTGAAGCTAACATTTTATTAATAATATTTTCATTTATTTTGATAGAATGTCGCATCTCATCAAGACCCTATTGATCGTTTACGAAATGAAAATTAAGATCTACGAGCAATCGTACAGCTGCTACAAAATGAGCGAATTTCTTTAATGGAGGCATTGAGTAACAAAACTGCGATTATTGATGATCTCCGACAACGAGTTATTCTTTTAGAGAAAAAAAATGAACACTCAGGGTAAAAAATGTACAGCTGGAATATCAGTTATGCATCATGAAACTGTTTCTTGGTATGGAAGAAATAAATTTTTCAAAAACTGGTAATCGTTAAATTTCATGTTTGTTTTAGATCTCGTCTTGTTATCTATAATAGCGATTGGCATTCCGATTATTTGTTAGTAAAAGATAATATTTAGTATATTTTCAATGAAAAATAATTTTTTATTTTATAGATTAAGTATATTATTAAAGTCTCATATTAATATAGATACAAATCTCAGGTCGAACATTCCGGCCACCGGATCCTGTAGGATACTCCAGGAAATATGTGGGAAAGGCACCATATCCATATCCTGCAGGAAATCGCTGGAACATGGAAGCATTATTCCGCTCAAAAATACGGCAACACTTTTCTGGAGGATTCCGCTGCTTTTCGGCAGGAATTAATCGGAAATTACTGGAAAAAATCCGAAAATTTTCCAACCGGAATACTGCTTCCACAAAATCAACGAAACTGCCCGGAAGCGGCCGTTTTCAGACCGAACTGTTCGACCTCAGAATCAATGAACGCCGTGAACTCAATGTTCATCATTAATACACTGTTATATTGTTTATTCTTTTTTTCTCATCACAGACGTTTTCTTTGTTAATTTATTGTTAACTAACTATTAATCGTAATCGCGTTAATATTGTACAACTTACCAAATATTTTTGCTAATTATTTCCTGAAAAATCAGGTCGTTTTTTGTGTCTTTTAAATACCAGGGTTTTGTTTATCTGTTCTTCAATACCCAGGAGAATCATTTCTGCAGTAGCATCCTATCGAATTCCGACATGGGTCAGACAGTGAATATACCGAATACTATACGTGTTTCAATAATACCGACGAAATCTTATGGGATTCCTGGGCAAGGACCTACAGTCGGATCCTTGGTACTGGATGCAATCAGATCTGATGTTGGGTTTTAACGGAACACAACTCTAACGAATCAGCCTTGCGTTCTGATGGCTCAAAATGCTTATTTGATCGTGAATATGAAAATGATTTTTTTCCGTCCGAACCGACAATAGGTTCGTGCCCAGGAATTCTATCGGATTCTGTCGGGGAGCCTGATCTCATAGGCTTCGATGGGATCCATTGTCAGATTCATTCATATGGGTGGCTATGTATATAGGCGATTATTAAACAAATTAATTCAGTGAATTAGCGGTTTACAGCGTGAAAACAAATGTCTGACTGGATATCTCACAGAAAATCTGTGTCCTATTTCAAGTGATGTCGTTTGATAGAGAACTCATGGAGCTTTGCTTTTCATATGTAATATCGTTTCTAACAATACATTTTTGTATAATTTTATATCTACGAAGCTATTTCATCGTCGCTTTCACTATCTTTTGGTTGGCTAATTTTAATTGTGAAAAGCAAGCGCACTGAATCTAAATTTTCTGAGTACCTAAAATAGTAAATTAGATGTCGTTATATAATTACAAGCTGAGCTGAGTTCAAAATTTGACATATATTTGATTCTTTATTATCTGCTACTTTTTTTGTTTGATGATCTGTCAATGAGAACGATCATATGATACTATACTTGTATGATTTTTACTCATTCGATGAAGATAGAAGAAATATAATGTATTGTCCAGGTGTATATGTTCTTTTTCTGTAATCACCAATATTTTCTTTCTTTTGTTTTGTCTGCTTGTTGTTCCATTCTTAAATTTGTTCTTTTTTTGTTTAACTCATCTCTTGTTATGGCAATTTACTCACATGATTTTTTTTCTAGGCCTTTTTTCTCTATTTTGATTATTATCTGTTAAAGAAAAATTCTTGGCAATAACTTTCATGCACCGTAATAAAAGTGCATTCGATGTTCTTGTCAGATATTCAAATAAATAAAATCATTTATTCAATAATGCATTGTTGTCTTGTGCCTAATAATGATTGAGAAGCATTCATGAAAAACAAACCCAGCTTATCAATATATTCAATATAGTGAAATTTTTCACATAATTTGAATTGTATCAAGCAACAGCTTGAACGTTTCCCCGAATCCTTTACTTGATTAGACCAGAATTATGCGTTCCGATAATCATGACAATATAAACATCTTCGTCTTCCCTAGTTAAATAACTTGAGGGTGTGGGTGTCATATGAATCATTGACTACACCCACATCCACTCCTTTTGTATTTTTTCTCTATTCTATATGATGAAACAAAGTTTCTATTATGTCAAAGAGTCTATTGTAAAATTAAAATATATTCCAATCCAAAACGGCGACTAGCGGCCTCTTCGAAATGTTTCATCCATTCAGAGGGCGTATCTCATTTGGGTCAATGGCGACTTCGTGTATACACTGTAGAAAATGAGATGCGTCTTACAAGACGGTGGATCTGTCTAGAGAAGCGTCTAAAGATAAGACGCTTCAATAAAATAGATATTGATGCGTCTTATTTGTTTTAGACGTTTAGATGTGATATATGTTGATACGTCTCGGACTTTGTTCTAATTCAAGTATCATTAGTCAGTTACATACAAGGAATGTATAATTCAAATTTAAAGTGTTTACATGAACTATTCAAGATATTTATTGTCTTGTAGAAAATCGTAAGTATTCTTTTTTTAAATTTATTTTGAAAAAACAATTAAGATTTAAATATAAATAAATACACATATATACGTATATATTACTTATTTTTTTAGATTTTTCTCACATTTCGCCTTATGTCTTCGATATGAATAGAATAGTACGTATTAAGAAAATATTTCAGATAAAATAGTTTTGAATTTTTCTCATCAATTTTTGCTTTTGCATATTTTATTCGTTCTTTTTTTTATAATTCATGAAATTCATCTTAGTTATTTGCATTATCATATGTTTCTTCTTGTATCTATTTTGTACTTATCTATTCTTGAAAATGGTGTAGTTCTTATATGAAATATCTAATTCATATTGTAATATTTTTTTTTTGGATATATTTTCTGTGTTTTTTGTAGATAAAAGTATTATCATCTTTATTTGGATGGCTAGGAATTTATTATTGAATGACAACTTTTACCCAGGAATATTTTAAATTAATTAAGTAGTGACCGAAACTTAACTGAGCAAGCATTTTTGTTAGGCAAATGTTAAGTACTCCTTCTATTCTTACATCTATCTTCCTTACACATTTCAGGTGATCTGAGACATAGGTTCTAGTAATAAATAAATTAAGCGTTAAAAGGAGACGTTCCTGCTGCAAATTTATAAAAATTGATCTAGGTGTTATACCTGTCGGAGCGACATATTTTTAAGTGCAATTAATTACAGTTACATTTAAAAATATGTCGCTCCGACAGGTATAACATCTAGATCAATTTTTATAAATTTGCAGCAGGAACGTCTCCTTTTAACGCTTAATTTATTTATTACTAGAACCTATAAGTCTTAGATCAACTGCAACGTCTAAGAAAGATAGATGTAGGACACTTCTCTTATTGGTGCAGATCATCCGACTAGAAGCGAGTGATACGTTTGAGTGTCTCAAATCGGTCATCCGTTGACACTTAAAGCGTTTAAACTAAAGATATTATAACTAATCACAATTAGTTCGAAGTGTCTTGAAGAAAAGCACGAACCGTCTTGCTTATACACTTTATGTGCCATGGTTTTTTTTAGAGTGCTTCTACTGTATGCATGTTATCTTAAACCATAACAATAAATTTTAAAAAAGAGAATTGGCTATTCTCAGCACAGATGCCAATAAAAGTGATTATAATTGAGGTGTCAGATAAATCTTAGAATGTTTTTCAGTAGAAATTTTGAATTATTCGTATTTTGATCATGAAAATTTATTCTTGAAATTATTTTTATTTGAAAATCATTTATAATTTTCCTTAAAGCATTTAATAAATGCATAGTAATTTCCATTGCACTATTTAGAAAAATAGCATAGTGAAAGTAAATTATTTCGAGAAGAAAAACATTTACTAGATTAACTGTAAGAGCCTGTAAATAAATCCTTATCTTACGTTAACAAATACGGAGACTTTTAATAGAATTTTAATTTTTATAATAACTATACCAGTGATTTAAAACGAGCTGCTTTCGTTACAAGTCGATGATTTGAAGAGAGAATCGTAAATAATGATGATGAGACTATTTTAGAATTCGGATAAGTGCGATTTTTTGTGTCATATAAAGTATCTGTCTAGAGAAATAACAAACTCTCAGCATAACCCCTATGGGTTGAAAATAACAAACTCAATGTAGCTGTTCGTGCTAATCATAAAGCTATCGTTTCATACCATCTATTTTTCAATGTATTTCGTTACCATCCTTTTACTTGATTCAGTAGAGTTCAATTACGGAAATAGTGCAAACACTAATCAGACATTATGAATACATATTTTTCTATAGTACATGTATTATAATCATGTCAAGGCCTTTAATGTTAGGTGGAGCTATCTGATCGATTTACTTCTAGAATCCTATCGACCGTATTTCCAAGAAAAGTCGTCGAACCATCATCCAATAATTATCATTTAACGAAAATATCGATCTGTTGACTGCTAATTTAATGTGCGAGAAAGAATCGAATCGAACATTTACTTCTTTGACGAAGAACTCCTCAAATAATTCAGAAAATACCCAATGATTCTTTTTATTTAGATTTTCTCTGAATTCTGCTAGAAAGTATGGAAAGCATACGCAACCCCGTTATACTGTTCGATGAAAACAATCTGTGTTTCTTCTTCTTATTGCGTTGTTTTTTCTTTAGAAGCGAATCGGCTAGAAGGAATATCGTATTTACGAATACATTTTTAATCGAAACTCATTGTGGTGGATACAGACTAATTTATAAATGACAAGTAGCATGAGAACTCTAATTAGTTAAATAAATTTGTTTATCAATACAATTTGATGTTATAAAGCATATTTTTTTTCTTCCTTTCTCATAAATCAATCGTTTCGAAGTCATAAAATAAGTCATAAATGTTCATAGAAAATTTAATATCTGTTAACTTTGCATCAAAAATGTTCTTTATAATGTTCTTGAGATTTTTTTATGTTTGCTATTTACTTTTGAGACCCTATACAATGACTGAAACTTTTGCCGTTCTTCGTGCGAACGTGTGCAAGGCAACAAACATAACAAAACAATCTGTCTTATTTTTGTTGCATCCGCTTTTTTTTCCTTCTTCGTTCGATGCTCTTCTAGCTTAGCCCTCTTTCTTCAATTATTACTCGTCCATCAATCTAATTCGTCCATCAACTTGTTGCCCTCTCTTTGTATTATACGCGCGGTCCAGTAGAATAAATATAAATTGTGAAATAAACAAAAGTTCATCAAGGATTAGTATTTATTTTTTCTATTGTTTTTTTTTTGCTTTTTCCCTTCATCAATGATTCATATTTGTTTGTTTAGTTCGGGTTTTGCTGAGTGCATTTAGACAGAGAAGATATTTATTTTATTTTGAGTGAGAATAACAAATGATAAAACTTGGAAATTATTCGAGTGATGGAACGGGCGGGGAATTCATGATTTAGCGCGAAATATGTTCTGTTAATGATATTAACAACGCGCTTTTACTTTTCATTTTCTTTGTTATAGATAAAAAGAAATAAACAACACGATGGCGTCGATCACGAGCAATTCAATGGAATCAGATGATGATTATATTCCACCTGTTAAATTAAAGAAAACCACAAATGAGGTTGGGAAAATACAATTGAACTATTAAGTTTTGTTTTTCTATCAAAATAATAATTTATTTTCTAGGAGGATCATAATGATTTATATTGTTTTGAATGTCATGTTGAAGGCGATGTTATTTGCTGTGATTCATGTCCACGTGTATATCATCCTAAATGTCTTGGATTGACAACATTACCTGATGGTGATTGGACATGTCCTGAATGTAAAGTATGTATTTTAGGGGAAAGAAATCTCATCTAATTCTTTAATCAATCTTCTCTCTCTCTCCTTTAAGATTTTTCAAGCACCACCAAATATAAAAGTTCCATCAATCAATGAATTCCATACTATGCTAAAATATGCATTACGCCGAATGAAATCTCATCCACAAGTAAGTTTGATTCGTATTATTAAAAACGAAAATACTATTTGATTATTTTTTTAGTCAACACCATTTATGCAACCCGTTGATCCTAAACAAGTCCCAGAATATCTCGACTATATAATACACCCAATGGATTTAGAAACCATAGAGAAAAATGTCGACTTAAAAAAATATACGTCCACAGATGCGTTTATTGCTGATGTTAAATGGATAATACATAATAGTGTCGTTTTCAATGGAAGCAAGTAGTCTTTGATTGTGTTTGAGAATATGTTTTTTCTAATTACTTTCTGTTTTAGGTCAAAGTAAATTTACAACTGTTGCACGTGCATTGATAAAAATTGCTCGGCATGAAATGACAGAAATTGAAATTTGTGCGGAATGTTATTTACGTAGTGCACAACCTTTAATACCAGATTGGTTTGCTGAACCATGCCGAATTCCACATACACTATGTTGGGCAAAAATGAAAGGCTATCAATCGTGGCCAGCGAAAGTTTTACGAATTGTTAATGATGAAGTTGATGTTCGATTTTTCGGTCAGCATGATCGGTAAGACAAAAAATCCTTAGGAAAATATGATTGATTTGATTTTCCTACTATAGAGCATGGGTATCGATTAATAACTGTTTTGTTCTTTCGAAAGAATATCCTGGTTCCGAAAAGAAAAAGTCAAATAATAATTTTGAAAGAAGTCTGACAGAATTGCAAGCTCATATTGATCGATTAAAAACATTTTATGGATCTTTTACGTATGCGCCACCACAAACACCGCTTAGTAAAACGAAACCATTCAAGTTTGTTCCAATTATTGATGGTATGTATTTTTATTTTCTAGCTTGCTTGCTCAAGGATTATAATGAACGGAAAAAAAAATCTCTTATGTTTATCTTATATAGTTTTCGTATTATTTAATACTGTACTCTCTCTCTCTCTTTCTTTCATGATGAGAAGATAAACATATCAGATAACAATCGATATCTTGAAATGAAAAGATCTACATTTGATAAAAATTTAATAAAGAGAAAAAAACGAGAATGCTTCTATTTGTTAACTGCAATAAAATCGTGCAATAGTGAAATGCTCGAATATACAACAGCAAATTTTTATGAATATGATTTTAATACTTAATGAGAAAACTTTAGATGAAATATGATAATGTTTACGCATCGGAAAAGTTTTTCGAAGAAACATGATCCTTCCAAAGGAATGTTGACATATTACTTCGGGAAAAAATAATATGGACTTTCGACTGATAATAATTAGATACTTAAATAACATTCAGCAAATGCTTCATATAGATTTTGATAGACGGTCAAAGATCTTTTATCAATAAAATTTCTTCCGAATAAATGACCTGTCTACTTCCTTATTCTATTTTATCTGGAGGATTAAGCAACTTAACCGATCTTCATGAGATTAGCAATAACAGCTGCGTTTTAATCTCACAAGGGATTATGCTGAGAGTTTTTCCTTCTCAAAATGAACTATATTTCGTTAGATTCCATTTCGCCGAACTATGTGACAATGACAACTGGCAATAATACACTTCGTGCTTCTATCAAGTGTATAAAGCAACCACGTTCGCCTATTCCACCACAAACAACTGAAACATCTACGAATATAAAAACAGCTACTAAACGTTCGAATGAAAATTCAAATGAACAACAGAAACAACAACAAGATTCAGTTAAACGACCACGACTGGCATCTCGACCATCGGATGAAAATTTAGCTAATTCAAATCGAATTGTACTTCGAATACGAAAACCTAGCGAAGATTTGTCAAGTAGTCGAAGTGAACTATCAACTAGTGCTAGTAGTCATCAACTATCTATTCAAATAAAAGAACCATTAACAGCATTGAAAGAAGATGAAGAAGAACAAAGTCAACCTCAAACAGAAAATGTATTTGATGTTTTTAATCAAAACGATCAAAAAATGAGTCCATCAAAAGACGATGACGACGAGTAAGAATTATAAAAAGAAAAAATAACTAATTTTTTTTATATGTTAATGAAATTGTAATGTTCTATTTTTGCAGAGTGCCATGCGAATCTCCTGAAAATCAATCGTTATCATCTTCTCCTCCTGTTGTTTTGAGGGAAAATAAAGAGCCGACTCAAGAGTCACCTAGTAATAATATTAATCAAAATGTAATCCCGATTGAACTCAATGCAGAAGATGTCAGATTATCAATAAATTCATTGCTTGATGCCGTCGATGCTCTTAAATCAATATCTGAGGTTCGCACTCATCAATCTTTACTAACTACATCATCGACAAATGAATCTAGACCAGTACAACCTCAATATGCTGAACGACGTACAACAACAAAACATTCGCGAAAATCTCGTTTACAACATCGTATAGTAACAGCTCCACCAAAACCACTGATAATTAATAATAATAATAATAATAATAGTACCTCTCTTCCACCAATGGAATATCATATAAATGAACATTCACTTTCTCCAATATCAACAATGCCTCCTCTAAGACCATTATCGATAAGTCCTGCCAGGTTTATTTCGAAATTTTATTCATTTGTTTTTATTTCAAAAGTTATTTTTCATTTTCTTTATAGTACTGATTTGTTTGAGGATCTTGCCGCTCTTACTAATGATGATTTATTAACACAAAATAAAAAAACAGAACGAGCAAAATCAATTGAAGCACTGAGTGTAAAATCTGAGCCGATGGAAAATGACGAACAATCAAAACATCGGCTAGTTCAATCAGTTGTAGCAGCAATACATCCATCTGTATCAAGTTCTTCATCAGTTTCTACAAAGCCTTTTCTTATATCACCACCAGCAAATGCACAACATCATAAAACAAAAACGCCCTTGTCTACAACTACGACAACATCAAATTCGCAATTTCCAGCAATGATAACTAATAGTAATAATACATTTGCACCACGAATACCATCAACAGTACCACAAAAAAGTACTTGGCCACCGGGTGTACCTATAGTTTCATCGGCACGGCAACCACCAAGTGCAACAAACAAGCGACCAGTACCAACGACTTATCCACCGACAGCTTCACGCAATAGTAATAATAACCCATCGACAATGAGAATGACTCCTCCAGCATCTCTGCAACCTCAATCATACGATGCATTTTCTATTAGCACAGCAGTACCACGAAGACCAAATGGTATAAATCATTCAGCGCTAACCTCAAATACACCATCAATACCAAATCGAAATCCTATTCGAGTAAGTTATATTTTATTTGACAGTTGAATAGTTTCTATAACGAATGAAGATTATTGTATTTCTTTATTTAAAATAAAACTTATAATATTCTTATTTAGATGCCCCCACTCAATAATCTTCCTATTCGACCTTCCATTGAAGAGTAAGTATAATATTTTCAACTATGATTACATTTTTATCTATTATCTTCTAGTCATCAAACACCGGGTGAAATACAAATGATTATTAAAAGCTTCAATGATAAAGTAAATAGATGATTTAGTGATTCGATGTAAAAACAAATCTAGTCTAATTTTGTGTTTGATTTAGTTTCAACAGTTGCTTACTGATTTTACTGTCAAAATTGAAACGACACTTGAATCAAATCGAATTAAATATGAAAAAGAGTTAGAAGAAACTCGTCGTACTTATCGTATGTCAATGAATGAATTACGTACAATAACGAGTAAGAAAGACAAATGATTTTAAGATTAAAATTTTTCTTTCACTTTTATTTTATTTAGCTCAACAAGTTCAAGAAATGCATAATAGTTTAGAATTACAATATTGGACACGTCTTTCAGAAATGCGCAATCGTTATGAATCAACTCTTCAACAACAGATTCCCAAGTCTTCATCAAAACAATTGAATGGTGGTCCTCGTTAGTCAATATTATTTGAAAACAAAAAATATATAAATGTATATTCATTCTTTCTTTCCTTTTATACAGTATTGTTCTTCCGTTATCTTATCACTATTTTTCTTGTCTGATCTCAAATAAATAAATCAATAAATCAATATATATATATATTTGACACTACGTGTGTATATTGATAAAGAAAAAAAGTGCATTTATTTATTCAAAGGCACACATAATGAAATATTAGTGAATAATTATTATAGTATAGTAGGTTTCTTTTCCAGGTGCAAAAGTGAAAATGACAGGATAATAAAATAACAGAGATTCGACCAATCCATCATTTAATCAAGGCCAAGATTCAATGGATGTTTGGGTGTGTCACAGAGAAAGAATTTTTTTATGAATTCAGAAAACAGTTTGTCTAAAATAAAAACGAATTTTGATGTTACAATTAGTATTCTTTTTTTTGTCTCTATTAAAATTCACTTACAATCCATTTTCTTTTTGCCACTTTCTGTGATAAAGTCATACGCTTTGGCAGCATTGTCTTCCTCAATATCCCATGAGAGAAGCATGTTGGCGAATTCGGATCTTGAAACAGCACGTTCATCTATGCAATACAAGCAGAATATTATCAATATGTAAATTATTAACCAAAAGATTATTATTATTATTATTACCTAAAAATTCATTGGCACGATATAAAGCCTTGAAAATTCCTTCATACCATTCCGGAAATTCATTTTTCTCTTTTAAACCACCGATGATATCATTCATGACATCAAGCCATTCGTCTTTGAATTAGAAGAAACATTATAGATTGAGATAAACAGAAGAGACAACAACATACCCAGATCGATATTACCATCGTTGTTAGCATCACCGACGGCACATAAATCCCAAAAGTATTTTTGAAATTGTTGTTCAACACGTTTACGCAAGATTTTCAATCGAGCGTTCTTCTCTGCATCCTCTTTGGGTACAATTGCCTATTGTTAATATAAAGAAAAGATTGTTTTGTTATCATTCAATCTAGATTACAAACCTCGACAGCATGTTCGAAATCGGTCCAGTTAACAAGACCATCTTGATTTGTATCTGATAAAAGAAGATAGATATTAATTATTCTTCCGTTTTTAATATGTATTGATAAAATTTAACTACTTACCGAGTGTCTTAGTAAAGAATTGTCCGAGTTTTTTCAATGATGTTTTCGGAATATTATCACGAGGCATGGTTATAGTTGACTTGCCTGCTGACTTGTATAGACAAAGAGAAAGTATATAGGAATGAAAGGAATCTAAAATCAATACATAAATAGTACAATATATGTATACATATATATATATATACAGATAGATATATACGTATCTGAGAATATTCATGCCAAATGCGACAACTCGGCTTTCATACAATAGAAAGACAAGAGAGTAATCCTTGTCTGGATACTTTTACACACTGTCCAGAATATTCTGGAAGAATTTTTAAGGTTTTCTCATCCATTCTCCTTGTGGTTCCTTAGAACAACAGGAAATATTGCTTATACGCAAAGATTGTTAATCATTTAACTGTCATTAGAGACAGAGAGAACATACAATAAGCAACCGTCGAATATTATTCATCTATATTTTCTATGTATCATACGTATAGTTTCTATCTCTCTCTCTCTCTCTCTCTCTCTCTCTCTCTCCGACTCTCTGTAAATCTTTTCCCTGAATCATTCACCACATCTATCAACCGATTAGTCAGTCAATGACCAACTTAGATGGCTGAAGATGTAATACCAACCGCTATAGTTTGGCGGGTTTTGTTTAGTCTTGACGTACAGAAGCAGTTGCATTTTTCTAAGCAAAAGGAGAGAGAGAGAGAGAGAGACAAAAAGACTTATATAGTCTTTCTCTCTTGGTGAAAGTGTCTTTTCTTATATACGATGCGTTTACAGATAGACAAATGATGTGCGAATGGTCCTTCTGTTTTCTACTATTACTGCAAGAACGGACACACAAACATCTACACAGAATTTCTTTTACGATCAAGATACAATGTTGCCGCTTACGAGTGATATTTTTCTCTCTAAATGCGATAGCGCAAACCATTGATGAGCAGAATAGGCTACAATAGTTACAACCATGGTAATTTGTTTCTTTTTTTTTGCTTTGGATCGTTTGCATACACACAAGAGATAGCCAGCTGTTATTATTACTGACTGGAAAAAAGACGTTGTCTGTATAGCTCATGAAAAAGAAGAGTTATTAAAAGAACAAGATAAAGATCGACGACGATTGATGAAAACGCAATTTCCCATGTAGCATACTCGTTAAAAGACATTATCAGACAAGAGTACCGATAGAAAAAATTCAAGGACTATAAATCATATTCAAATTGAAATGAAGTTGAGCAATGGCTATTAGGATGTAACATAACAAAAACTACATAAATCATATATGCGGTATAGATGACAAATAGTTTCTTCAAAAGATTGATTGGTAATATAGATTACCAAAAATAACGTTCTACAATATCTTGTTGACGAGTTTTATGCCTAATATAATCCATATAAGAACTGGTCATTCTTTTGTCTGTAAATTATTATACATTGATTCGACAATTCTATGGACATTAATAAATAAAGCAATATTTTATGCTAGAAATTCTGTATTTTTCCATTTGTTATTACTATCTTCTACGGTTTGATACGGATTGTACGCAAAATCAATCATCAAGACATATGTGCAAATGTCTGTTAGCAAGCAACATAAACTTCTGATATACTACAATCAACTATTTTACTTTAGCTGGACAAAAAAAGTAATCGAAAAGCATGGCAACTATCTTATAATATCAATCTAGATATATCATAACATCAGAGTTGTCTAAAAATAGATGCAATCATAAAGTTTTATTGGGCGATAATCAATGCTTGAAATATGTAAACATAGATTGAAGACTTTTTTGGTTTTGTTTTGTAAATCAATTTAAATATCGAAGAAAACATGGTTTACAATCAAACGTTCGCAATCGATTATGAGATGGCGACAAAGAAACAAAATAATTAGTAATAGAAATCTAATATTCAGACGTTTTGTTGCTTTCCGTGTTACCGCACGTATCATGAAGGACACAATATAATGCGGTTATATGCTTCAAACAGAAACCTATGACAAAAGTAACATCAAATGTCAATGAAATACCAACAATTATTGATAAAATACCATTATATGATCATAGAAATGTTTTACTCAATGATTCTTAGAGAAATATTGCACACTTCAAATAGCTTGTTGTGTACTTTTCCTGAGCGATTTTCGTATGTTTATAGAAACATGAAATACGATATCTATATGTCATGTTTCTTAAAGTGCTATTTATGCTGTAACATTCGTGCAAATCTTACTATAAAGATATCATTTCTTCTTGTTAGTTTCTTTTCTTTGTTATAAATCCATATGGCTTGGCAATAATTGCAATGATACTATATAAAATAAAATTAGAAAATCCTTACCATAACTTTGCTGATATCAATTCCGTTGTTACCCATACATTTGAGATAACACTATAATTAAATAACTTATATTTCCTATTTGTTTCTTGTAGATAGAGATGTTCCAAGAAGCAAATTGTACTTCTGATGTACTTGTAAGACTATTCTGTTATCTTGAAAAGCTATCAATCTAACAGTATCTCGAAGATCCGCACTTAAGCATACATTTAAAGCCCTCAATTTTACTAGAGTGAAACGAAAACGCACTATTGTTTTATCGTACATTGCTTGACAAACGTATAAAAATATTGCTTTTAGGAATAATTAGTGATAGATAACATCCCCTATTTTGTAATACTTAGTGCCTAACATGCTGAGAAATATGTATTCTTTAGTGATACATGCAATAATAACACAAACCGTATCCTGTAGCATTATCAAGACGCGTTGATGTCTGATGGTCAATTGTTTTGCTTGATAATTGCTCATTTTCACTTATATTATGCACGCGTAGTGCATTTACCCGAAAATTGAAATATTACTTGACGCGACTAAAAAAATTCTTATCGATTAAATCCGACCACAGAAGAAAATTTTTAATAAATCTCATAACCTATGGTTTGTCGTGTTTTCGATTGTTCAACCCTGAGAAAACTAATAATAGATCTTGTATTCTAAAGCATCAAACTCTTCAAATTTTTCGTCTCGGTAAAATAATGAACCGGTGGGAAATTATCAATAGACCCAAGAATAAAGAACTTAAATCTCATTGGTTTCTAATCGTTCTCTAGTCAAACAGGTTTAAAAATAGTCATATTGCATTTATTCATAAGACTGTATTCAATTCAGAAGAGAATATTATTCACTGACATACTGAACTAATTGAGAAGTGACTTCTCAAGTAGATATGCTAATTTCCATCTTGTATTAATATTCATAGAAATAAACAAAGTAAAGTTCACACATATAAACATGATGATACTAATCAAAATAAATTGATCCCTTTATGCCCTAGCTGCTTCAAGGTCGTATTCAATGTGGCGGTGTGAAATAACATAGCTTACCATATTTATTCAAAATTATTGCAAGTCATAATAAAAACAAAAACTGTGTCTGAATATGTTTTTTGTTTTATAATCCTTTGGATTTATTGTCGAGCGAATACGTTCAATCATTTAAAAATCTTGATGAAATGATTCTCTCTGCTTCAAGTACTAGTGATAAGATCTTTATAACGTTATGTATATAATTGATGATCAGTAAGATAAATTCGCGCAAGAATAAGACACTACGTAGATGCAGTTCGATGAAATGTTGTCAATGTTGAAGCGCAACATCATATTTGTACCTGTTGATATAGTTTATTTGTTTTCTGCTAATTATATATTTGTTCGATATAACTAAGCGAAAAAAAGATCGTCATTTCTTTATTCTTTTATCGTTAAACGAAAGAAATACTTCATAAACTTTGACAAAAAATGAACTGATTACTCTTTGCTTTCACATAGCCAAACTACTATCAGAGTAGCAGACAACAATGTTACTACGTACGAAATTAAAAAATAGACCATCAAGGTTGCAAAACGCAGCCAGTACCAAAGATATTCAAGGTAGAGTCGTTATGATGAAATTTATATAGGCTTTTTTTTAAACGTGTAATTCATCATACGTCCCTTTCTTATCTAAATGAAGTGGGGTAATAGAAAAAAAAAAGAAAATATTTATATTTCGAATGACCCACAATTTCGTAGTTTCATTTTACAGCTGTTATCAAACAACTTCAATATTAATGATAGCAGGCGGACTTTGTAAACAAATATATAAAAATAAAACGAAAAATAAATAAATAAAACAGACGTACATCGTTCCATCGATGTTTTTACTCTGCGATATATTTATACGCATGCAATAGGTTGTTGCCTAGATTCAGAAGATATGACTATTTACGTCAGCTGTTGCGTCTTTTCATTCGTCATAATCATTGTAAACACTTTTTTCACTGTTCAAATAATGGGACGAACGAACGGATAGAAAAAAGACGATAGGAAAAGGCAAACAAGTAGAACAAGAATGCAAGCCACAGAGAACGAGAACAAGTCCATACTGTGCATGCGTGATCGTTTAAAATTATAAGATGACGTTCTTGTGAATGTACATACTAATGTTGAGGGGAGCAAAGTGCTTTTTATATTTGAATTTCATGCGAACTTTGAAACGGGGTGATACGAGTTGATTATCAATATCCTTCTCTTTGTTTCGCATATCTTTTTTTTACCGTTGCAAGTCACCTAATATATTGTGATATTCAAGAGAAAACAAAGGTACATTCATTGCTATTTCTTGTCCAAGAGCGTTTATTAAGTCTAGATAAAAAAGGGTATGGTGATAAATAGAAAATAAAGTACTTTTTAACCCAGATTTTTATTTAAATACTTTTGTCATATCTATCATTCGTATACTTTCTATTCAGAAACTTTAATATTATGAAAATAGCTGCGAAGTCATTATTAACATTACTCGATGTTGGTACAGGATTTTGTTATTGGCTATTAGGCCGAGATTTACTTGAAGAAGAAATTCAATGTATACAAAACTTATTCAACAAAGGTATTTCATATGTTTACTGTACTGATTGCATTCGCCAATTATATTTCTTATAGTTAAACGTTCCGAGGATGAAGTAGTTCTCCAACATGAACTTAATAATCTGACACCAGGCAAAGATTTATTACTAGTATGTAATGCACAGAATTATAATCTAGTTCAATGGTGTATATTAAACAATTATACACAAGCACTTACTACTCTATTAGAATATGGTTGTAATCCAAGTCGAACAGGCTTATCAGGTTATGACTTACCGCTTGCATTAGCATGCTGTTTAAATCGTATTAATATGATCAAATTATTACTTGATTACGGTGCAAATCCATCGGAAACAACAGAACTATCATCAGCTACATTAAAATACTTAGCTCAAGAGAACAATAAAGAGTATTATTCGAAATTAATTGATCTAATTAAAAATCGAATTACTGTAACTGCTCTGAATATTGTTCTTAAATTTGATAATTTAGAAATGTTTGGTTTACTGATACGTGATATAGTACTTTCACCATCAAGATATTCTGAGGATACGACTCAACGTATAGATCATGCAAATTTAAAAATATCCGACAATGAATTTGAGATGGTTTGTGATAAATTAAAAATTGAAAATTACGTAGAAAAAATAATCGCATCTGATAATGAAGAATGTACAGAACAACAACAACAACAGATCGCAACTAATGATGATCTGTCCGACTACGTCGAATATAAGCCTCTCTTTTCATTTTGTGATACTCTTGATGTTGACTCAATTGTTGTTAATAATTATGATGATAGACAGGTTAGTTTTGTTTTTCATTCTTCTGACAACAAAAAAGCTATATCAACAGGTAGAATATATAAATAGTTATGGCGGAAATCTCCAAGGTTGCATTTCAAATAATTAACCTTCATAGATTATAGGATTACTGAATAGTTCGTTGCATATTGAATGAAATACATTCCGAACTAAAGCATATTGAGTTGAAGATTTGCTCACACCTACTATACACTGTTGCGCGGTGGTTATGTTCTTCTTTTTTTACTAGGAACAATATTATTCTTTTGACTTAGATAGGCCTATACGCAAAACGTGCTTTTTCAAGGGTATCTGTGATATTTTAGTTTCTTTGTATATTTGAAGGACACCATAACAAAAAGGTGCACATCCCTAAAAACAAAACGTCTAGTACGTGTAAGAAAAGCTATTTATCTCGAGCGAATGTAGAACCTTGAAATAGTATCTGCAAAATTCACTTGTTTTTCTTTTATGAGTCTATATTGGAGTATTCCACAAAGAAAATGATACTCTTAATCAGTAAGAAATCTTTAAATCTGTAGATTTATATCTAAAAAGTAATACATATATATATTCTTGTGGTTAATTTAGGTACTATCAGAGAAATGTGAACCATTGGAGCAAGTAAACATCGAAGAAACATTTGTCCCTGCGGCAACTACTGATGGTGGTTATTTTACAGTTGATGGAAGTTCTGGTAACGTTAAATTACAACCTCTGATGAAAACCGTTGATCAAGAAATGTGTATTGACGAAAATCTACAAAATTTATGTATAGCAGAAACTGAACAATTCACTCATTCTTCAAAACAAAATGAACTCATCCCTCGAACAAAGAGTCAACAACAGTTAAATAAATTATCAAGTAACAATTATACAATGCACCGTCGTTCATTACCAAATAATGTGTTTCATTCTTCTATGGACCAACCATCGAAACGTTGCCTTTCAACATCATCGTTTCTTCTATCAAATATACCCAATTCAACAAAACAGACAGCTCATCTTTTACGTTTACTACATCAAATGATTGAACATGAAGCTGCAGATATATTAGAATATTTTCTTAGAGTACATCGAAATGAATTTAATGATCATTTTCATGCAGCCATCAGTAGTTCTGATATAGAATTGAAAACATATGAATTATTATCAAATATAAAATCGGACAAAATTTATAATGTACTTCTATCATCAGATTGTACTTATTTCAATAGGGTAACAACAAGTTTATGTGATAGAGAAAATAATACATTAGTTCATTCATTACTTGGACAAAATCCATTGAAATATCAACCAACAGAAATGATTAAAATGGTTGAATTCTATATGGAATATGGTTTAAAAGAATTTATTAATAGGCCTAATCTATCAAACCATTGCATGATTCAAATTCTTCTATGTAATGAACATTTTCTTAAGATGCTCTTCTTTCCACGAAGTTCTCAGTCATCATTAAAAAATTGTGAGTATAAACTTGAGTGATACTTACTGTTCATTTTGATAGCTATATCATATAACAAACAGCTGATAGATAACATCCATATTTACCAAGGTTGTCCAGGTGATCATTGCACCTGTGACCCACTAGTTGTCTCCTTTGTCTTACCTTTTGCATAAATCTAATGAATCTTCTCTATTTCAGTAAATTTAAATATTGAAACGATGACAACATCATTACCTATTTACGATCGCGTAGTCGTTGAAAAATGGCGTCAATCATATTTAGTTTTAATTGAAACTTTAATAAAACATGGAGCTCGTATTGACATTTCTTCTGGTTCATATCGAAATAGTCTTGATTGTCTCTTATCAACTCTAATCGATCTCGCTAAACGTTTAACATCAATAGCAGCAACTATATTTGATATAAAATATCTTAAACGATTAATTATAATTTTACTCTCGTCATTGAATCAAACGAAAAATCGTATAATTTATTTTAAATATAATATTGAACGATTCTTACAACTTATTTGTTTTATACATATAAATAATGATGATCTCTCTGAAATACTCTCAATAGTTCATGTACTTTTACAGTATGAATGTCAAACATTACGATTAAATAGAAATACATTGATGCATCTATTTAAATTATGGGTTACGAAGCCAAATTTTCTATGTTCAAGTCTTATTGGAAAAGATTTATTTATGCAGCAACTTTTAACAATTATTATACGTAGATTTAATCTATCAACACAAATCAATAATCAATCCAATGACAATCTATTATTATTATTATCCACAACAACTAATTTATCACGAAGATCGTCAATAACACAAAATGAAAATGATGTAACTTTACAAAATTTACTTTTTATTATACTCAATTTATTATCCATTGCTCAAACGTGCTTACAAATTCAATCAATTTATGAACTAGTACTCATCTTTATTATTCATACAAAATATGATATTATTAATAATTCCGATGAAATTCAACTACCAATTGTTTATTTATGTTTACAAATTAAAATGACTCATGCTTGTTTGTTAATGCCATTTATTGAACTTTTTACAACGATACATTCAATAACGATAATCAATAAAACAAAAGATACACTTTTACAGCTGTCACCGAAACGCTTATCCATGGATTTGTATAAACATTTTCTGTCAATTGAAAGCTTGAAAAGACCTGTATGTTCACTTCGAAATATATCAAGCAAATATATTTACCATCATTTACAAAAACCTTATATGGATAGTGTAACTAGTTTACCGATTACCGACACATTGAAGGAACGATTGATTCATTTTCATGACGTATAAAGCATGAAAAACTGTATAAATCTCTTTAATACGAACATGACGGGTCATTCTTTTCGTTTATGTCTTGCCAGCCAGATTCTATACTAATATTAACTGTGACCATGTAGAACTTTTGTGTTCACGATTTTCCTCACTGGCAAGGTTTGCTCTTTCTTTACTTGTAAAATTTTTCTCTTTCGTTTTTAACATTGACTTTTTGATTCTTTTTGTACGGTGATTATTTACATTGGTTTTTGCTCGCTTAATATCACCATTGAATTACTTGTTTCAGGTTCTTCTATTGTCAGAAAATGCTTTGTATCTTTTTGTTTTTACATGTGTGTGACTCACACATGTAAACTTAGTTATACATTAAGAAAACGTTTTCAAGGAATATCAATCGGACAGATCAGATGGTGTTGTTGAGGCAAACTGAATCTCATCAGCACTGTTACTATGAAGTAGAGAAACTTGCAAAATTTATCATCAGTGCTTTATAAGGAGCTAGTTAACTTTTGAGTCAAAGGAAGAAGCCATCTATAAGGATGCTTTTCGGACTTGTCCCTAGATTGTATAGACATAGGATGGAGGCGCAAATTTCCCATAAGTTCTATTCTTAAAAAATACTATCAGCTCACCAGTATCTACCGTTTCTCAATACCATTGAAAAACTGTCAAAGCCGACTTTCTTATTCAAACTGAATAGTTAAGCGAAGAAGTAAAGCATCAGAAACGATAGATGTTAGTGAGTTGATATTATTTTTTAAGAATAGAACTTATGGGAAATTTGCGACTCCATCCTATGTCTATACAATCTCAGTAGTGTCAAACTTGAAACTTGAATTCAATTGAAAATTGAAATTTTCAACTGAATTCAAGATTCAAGTTTGACATATATGAGAGTAGAATACGATCGAATAGTATCGAATTCTGATCCTATGGATCCGAAATCCGGAATGCGACGGAATCTGTTGATTCTTGTCGGTTTTCATGTAAGATCCGATTGTTGGAATAAATGATCTGGGTCGTTGTTGTCGATTATCAGCAGAAAATTCTCAAGCATTTTTTTTCAAAAACTTCGAATACTTTTCTGTAACACTTATGAATCGTTAGAGAAAAACAATGCTGCCATATCTCAGTATGGAACAATAATTTTTCATCTTAGTTACTCTGAATATTACAATTTTTTACCAAAAAAAAACATATTTTATTGCTACTCCTGAAGTAAACAATTAAAGTAGCTCTTCTGCATGCCAAGTTACACAAAGATGAAATTAAAAAATTGAATTTCACAATACAAATGATCAGAAGTCATTTGTTATCACTGTATATCGTTTTTCTAGTTGTCTAGATAATGACAATATTTCTATGAAGAATATTTCATTCAAGAAAAGTTTATATAGAAAATAGATATAAAGAGAACAAAGTTTTGAGTCATTTTGTAATGCTCGCCACATTATGTGTCAATAGTGGCATAATGATCGTATATTTAATAAGATTTATCACGAATAAAAATCATGAATCAATGAGCATCATTAATATGATTGAAACAGCTTCTTGTCGTACCAGCGGAGAATTTTCTGTCTTATTCTAGTCGACGGCACTCGAAATCCAGTCAAACTGAATGTAATTACACAATCGTCCGTCAATTTATGTGGTGATCAATGAGTAACCGTTGATAATAGCATACCTAGAAAGAGTGTTTCATATGACTAACTTCAAAATATTGATCACAAACATATATCTTAGCAACCAGATAAAAAACACTACGCTTCAAACTATCATTGTTTCAAGTTTGTTTGTTAATAAATAAAGCGTTTCAAAATCTAAAACTGTTGCTAAACAGCGCCACCTATTGACCACTGCCTATTATTGCAAAAATCTAACCAACTGAATTGAAATTTGAACTCGTTCTTTGTTTTACTATTTATACCATCGCAACAGCCGTTTATTCTGAAGAAGTGATCTGAATCATATTGACGTAAATATTATTTTAAAAAGTTTTGTGTCAGGCGGCGTAGTCGGAGTGATATCTTTAATTTTATTGATGACTAAAAACTTGAAATTCTGTACTTTGAGCTCATTTCTGTCGACTAGAATATCTCGAAAAGCTATTTTTGAATGTATTTTTAAGTAAAAGTTTTATGTTTTTCACAATTTTATAGGTGAAAAAATACCTGATATTCAAGCAGAACAAAAACATTCCATTATGAGCATTTCCGGTAGCGATGTCAAACGATGTATGTACCATACTATAATAACTATTATGTTTGCATTTCATTGAATTTCTACTTTATTTTATATAGCGTCCTTTCCTGTTGGTGAATCAGGTACGAATGTAACAACAGTAACATTTGGTCATCGTTCAGGCAAATTATTGGCAACTGGCAGTGACGATAATGCCATTCATATTTATGTCATTGGTCAACCAACCTCACTACTTGTATGTTAATATTCTTCTGCAATATTTTATTTGATATCGTTTCCTTAGACATCACGATGTCAAACAACTGCTATCAGTGCATTACGATTTTCCAACGAAGAAAATCTCTTAGCATCGGGTAGTCGATCTGGTGCAGTCAAAATATGTGATCTTGAAAGTCAAAAAGGTAAAATAATGCAACTTATTTGATAACAAAAAACCAAATTGTGGATATATTTCTATAACTGCAGTCATGCATCCAGGTGGACATAAAACATGTATTCGTTCAATTGAATATTTTCCGTCGAGTAACAACTTTTTAGCAACAGGCGCTGTCGATGGAACAGCGAAGGTTTGTTAAGCGAAAGTAAAAGAAATTTTATTATTCTATTTTACTCTTAGCTTTGGGATCCAAGACGAAAAGGCTTTATATTCCATTATACAGGGCATAATGGAGCCATAAACGCATTGAAATTTTCACCTGACGGCCGATTTTTAGTTACCGCTTCAGATGATACAGCTATTCAAGTGAGAGAACCAAGATTCATATATTCATTGGAAAGTATCGATTTTTAAACTAGATGTGGGATGTCACAGCTGGTAAAATAATAAAAGCTTTTCAACAACATCAAGGACCTGTATTTACTATTGAGTATCATCCACGAGAACTCTTACTAGCATCAGGAGGTGCTGATAGGTAAATAATTTCATATGTGAATAATCTATTGCATGTCTCATTGTTTTCATTAGACGAACTAAATTTTGGGACCTGGAAAAACTTCAATTTATTGGTGAAACAGAACTTGAAACATCAGCAATCAAGTGAGAAAGAATACGAATAATTTATTATTAAGTAATCAATAAATACTTCTTTTAGATGTTTGGCATTTGAACCGTCAAGTGCTAATTACTTACTTACAGGTTCAAATGATACGTTACGCGTTTATAATTGGGAACCTGTTCAATTACTTGATAGTGTTCCAATGGGTTGGAAAAATGTTGTTGATATGACTATACATAGAGATCAACTCGTATGTCTTAATGAAATTTCAATATTTTATTACAAACCCATTTTGTTTCTAGTTTGGAGCATCTGTTTCACAAAATGAAGTTTGTATTGGTACAATTAACCTTTCAGTAAGTTTAAAATGAAAAAAAAACCAACAGAAATTATATTATTAATAAACATATCGTTCTATAGAGTTTAAAAACTAAACGACGTATTTCACCAGTTCGTGACTATTTTCCAAGTGATCTTAAAGCACCGTCTATTGCAACTAGTACAATGTCCGGTCGACGAAGTCATTATCAACCAATGGCTGTTAAAGATGAACATGTCAAGTAAGAAATTCTTTTTTGTTTCATTGAATTCTTCTATGGAAAATCATCTCTTAGACTGAAACCAGAACCAACTAGTGCTAGTAATATTGATGATTCGAAAACATCGGTTGCTGATAGTGTTATGATAGATAATCAAGCTGATTATGAACGAATTTTTCGTGGTAAAGCACGTCTGCCACGTTCCCCTAGTCATCAAGGCGGTTCAACAGTATCTTCGTCAATATCATCTGGAGTACCTGAAACACAGTCATCGAAATCTGAAGTTTCATCAGAACCATCATTTTCTTATACAACATCGACTGGATTTTCTAAATCACCATCGACAAATGAAGTTTCGTCAGTACCTGCACCTACCACAGCGAAACCAAAAACTTCTCAATCTACTTCATCGCCACCACCACAAGTAATATTAACTGCTTTTTTTTGTGTGCCAATTAAGAATATACAACTTGTTTTTTTTTCCATAAAAGATTGATCGACCTATGCATCCTGCTCGAATGCCTAATCCACCGGTAGTTCCAACTGAACAGGTAAAATAAACATAAGATGTTTTTACGCACTCTATTTACTTTTCTTTAGCCTCGAACAAACGAACAAATTTTCGCTAGTTTATCAAAAGCTAATCAAACAATTAACACTGTACAACAACAACGTAGAAGTAATTTATCATTATTGATTGATCTATCACGCAGTAATACTACACAAGTAATATTCAATTGACAGTTTTAATATTTGAACTTAACTTGATGATTAATTTTAGATCACATTTCAAGCAATTATTAATACAAGAGATCTTTCACTTGGTTGTTTTCTACTACGTTTTGTTCTTGAAAAACTAGCCAAGTAAATATCAACAATAGATACTAATCATTATCAATATGACCAAAAGGCTTCTACAAAAAAAAAAGAACTATCTATTCATTTAAGCCATGTGATTTCTCACTTGTTTTTAGACGTGATTGGAATCTTGAATTATGTACATTAATTTTACCAGCTATACGTGACCTGATCAAATCACATTACTATGTGTAAATGACTTTGTTTTTTTGTCATAGAATAAAACTAGAAATCTTATATGTCTGTATTCTTATTATAGTTACAATATGACAGCATGTCAAGCACTGGAACGAATACTGACAAACTTTGGTAAATTGATCTATGATAATGTTGGCGCTAAATCAATTGGTGTAGATTTGAGCCAACAAGCTCGGTAAATAAAACTAAATTTTTTTCTCTATTAAGTCTATTCCGAGATTAACTTTAGACGTGACAAATGTCAAACATGCCATCATGTATTACATGAAATTCGGTGTGTATTTGAAGATCGTCTAAAAAATATATCTGATTTTCCATCAAGACAATTATTCGATGATAATTTACGACTATTGAATGCACTCGAGCGACCTTGAACAAATATATCTCATATTCTCTTTCACTCTTTCGTTGTTATTATTTATCCGTCGTTTTCTTTTGTTTTGTTTTCACACCCTTTACATTCAGATGCGAAGCAATGCTTATTTCCCGTACTGTGATATATACAATCGTCTTATTCTATTATCCCTTTTTTTTTGAACCAATGATACACAGATTAATTCTTTTTTTCATGGTGTTGCGTGTCTTTATATATATATAAATATATTCAAAACGACACCATTTATACGTATATATATATATGTATGAATTTTTCTTCTCTTTTGTTTTTCTGGATAAATAAAAATATGCAATTGTGTGGATGTATACCGGTTGGAAATGGAGCTCGACATGAAAATAAACAATACAATACGAAGCCATCGATGAAGAGATATTCTCTTAAACATGGTACAGTGATCTATAAGTTTCTTTATTTAATTTTTTTTTGTTTTTATTTTTTTATAGAGATACCGACAAGTACAACTGATTCGTTCGTGGCAACGAAGTGAGAATAAACTTTTTTTATTTGGCAGATTTAGAAAACAAAATTATTTTTATTTTGAAGTACCCGAAAAGAGCGAACAAAATCAAATACAAGTACAATGACTGAGTCGGGAACGAAACGATAGTAAGCAATTTTAATACCAAAAAGTATTATTTGATAATGAATCGAAAGACAGTTTAGTATTTTCTTTACCTATCTCGACAGGAAAGATGTAATGATCTTATTCAGCTAGGAGACTATTATCAATATATTGGTCATTTTTCACCATCAAATATATATTATTTTCTTTTTGTCATAGCGATGAAGTCTCTTCATGATAGTAAGATACAGCATTGTTTCTTTGCTTTTGTAATAAAACGGGCCGCTTAATATTAACAATGCTTCTATGCTTTTGTTAAATATTTAACATTTTGAATAGAAATTTCGGAAAATTCTATTAATTTAGTACTCTCAAAAAACAATCTTCATCAGCTTCAATCAACAAAATTATTACTCTTAACAATCGTCATTCACAAACTGATACCGCTGAAAGACGATCAGTGTAAGTGAAAATATGAAAACAAATAAGTTTCTATTTTAAATTATTTTCAGTGCATATGCTTATGAAAGTGAAAATGAACAAAGACGATTTCTCGAATTAAATAAAGAAAAGCGTCGGTAAGAAACTATTTTTCAAAGCATAATTAATCGATTTGTCTATTCGGCTCTTTTTTCTTGTAAATTTAGATCTATTCATGAATTACAATTTAATCAAATTATTCTTCACGGAAGTAAACGTACCAAGTAAAATAGACGCAAAACGCTCTTGTGTTTTGTTCTTTATGTGTAATGATTATTTTAGGAGTTCACCCGATGTGAATCAATTTATGAGTGCAAATACATCACGTGAAACAACAACATGCGATGAAAATGATAATCCTGACAATTCACGACATAAAAGATCTGCTGCGCGTCGTCGCAAGTAAGTTTTCTTGTATAATTTCAAATGATTATACAAACGTATTTAGCTGAAAAAAAAGTTGAACTCTATTTTTATACGGATAACTAGAGTCATAAGAAATCTAAAATAAGAACTTTCTCAATATCCCCAAGGAAGATGTGATACGCTTGAATTAACTTGTGTGTTTAATTTAGACGAAGTAAATCTCCTCGTAAACCAATGCCATCAGAAATTTTAGATGCAATCAAGTACGTCATTGTTGTTTTGTAACTCATTATATTTATATATCTATCATAGGTTTGAGCTTGTAGAGCCTGTTGGTTTAGATGAGAATCAGCTCAAAGACATTCCATATGAAAACATCAAGTAAGAGTCATAGTCGTGCATATTAATTGCTTAATTAAGCTCTTATATATCAAGAACAACAACTCAACCATTTCGAATCAGTCTTTCGCCACATTCAGCTCGACGACGACGTTCTTTGCCATTTAATCGTGCTGGGTAAAAACCAAATAATTTCGATTTCTTAAAAATTCTATGAACTATTTCATTTTAGTGATGTAGTGCATAATGCACCAAATAATATGTTGTCTTATCGACATCAACCAGCTGTCGTTTGTGTTGCTCAAGTTAAATCAACAGTAAAAAACAAACTCTTCTGATATTACAATTATCGTTTACTTGTCTTTTTTTTTATTTCTCTAGAAAATTATCAGCATTGCACGAACAACCGAACATTGTGCACATTGAAAAATAGATTATCAATATCATTCAATTGCTTTTCTTCTGCCCAAAAGAGTAATCGTATTCTTTGTGGCTTTTGTTTTTGATTTTTCGGTCAGATATTCGTTGTTATTATCTGAGTAGGCGTTTCTTTTCTTATATGTAACGATATTTTTTTGTTATATTATTATTTTTTTCTCATTTCTCTTCTTTTGTTGTACAATGTTTATCAATATGGTTATATTTTTTGGGTTTATCTGTCAGAGAATAGAAATGCACTAAATAGAATTGTCGATTGAGACCAAACCATTTGATCATATGCAATATGTTGCTGTCTAATCAATTGTCGATCGAGAAAAAACGGATATAGAAAATCAATTCATATGCCTATTTTCTAAATAATTGACAATTGTACGCGGAAAGGGAAAAAATATGATTGACAATCGTGTTTTTAAAATTACAATGAATCTGATATACAGATCGATCAATTCAAATAATGAACAAAAAATTATTCGATGAGCATTAGCTTTGTCTAATCCTTAGAGACACAATAGGTTTTTGTTCAAAACGAAATTGATTATTTCTATAATAACGAGAAAACACGCATATTATTAATTGTCAACAGCTAGTTATAAAAACTAATATTTCTTACAGTCGACTGAAACTTAATCTCCGGATATTCGTGTTCTTATTTTTCATCATGATTTCGATTCTCGTTCAATCTTATTATAATGAATATTTGACAAAGAAAAAAGTCATCAGTCTATTCTTGGCATTATCTATCTATCATTTTATTTACCTGTGACCGTATTATCAGCTGACAGGAGATATATACTTGAACTCTTGAGAATAACAGAACACCAAAAAAAAATTTATCTTTAACTTGTTATTACCTCAAAAAAAGATACCATGTCAAGTATAAAAAATTTTCGATAGTTAAATTCATGGATGATTTTTATTATTGATCTGATTCACTCTTTCTTTTTGTTTGTTCTTCTATTACTATCAGACCATATAGTTATATATTATCTGTTTCAAAAAAAAAAGAAATAAAAGCGCATAGTTCATACAATTATCTTTAGATGTATGAATTCAATCAAATATGGAATGCTGCCCTCACTCATTGATAGTCATCAGTACACACAAATATAGTACATATAGACAGTCATGAAGTATAGTTAACCAACTATGTGTACATTCCTCTCTCGTTTATTTTATTTTATTATAATCGACACAACAAACCGTGCATAGTAAAGAAAGATACCGATGATATGATCGTCACAACACATACACACACACAATGATTCCTATCTGCTTCTTTTTTCTCTTTCTCGAGATGTACGATGCTACTCATAGGTTTGATTTGAATGGAATAGAATTCCCAAAACAAATCAGTGTCGCACCAATGACCAACTGAAGGCCTTTTCTAAAATCGGGTTTCCGGATACGTATTGCATAATTGTATGTTGTGTTGTATGTCTCTAATCACTTAACACAGTTGCTCATCTCTTCTTTATCTTGTCTTCTATCGTCATTTCTGATTATCGATCATCGGAGATCACACCCATTTTAACTTCGTTTAATTGCTATTCGCCTTCCTCTTCTTTCCTATCCCATTTAAGATGCCATCAAACAATATTCAAACGTCCCTCTTGTATGTTTATCGAAACCATCAGTCACTGTCGCATTCAATTGACGCGCGCCAAGATAGTCGATGATCTGAGCATAATTTATCGGCAAATATTGAACAACGAAGAAAATGTAATTGTTCTTGTTCTTGCATCGAATTAGAGATAGCAATAGTGTGTGTGTGTGTGTGCGTGTGTATGCGCTTGTGTTTAGAGGTAGAAAAGAATAAAATGAAGACGAAGAAGAAAGAGAAGACGAGCAGTTGTCTCTCTTTTCTATTGCTGAACACATATATAGGACCGAGCTGATAGTCGCCATCTTTGTCTTGTGCGTGTGCCCACATTTATATACATAAAGTCGTGTTATGAAGACAATGAAGTGTGTAGACCTATACTATAAGACAGTACAAGTGAGCGAGAACAATTGTTACGCACGAGAGTACAATAGTGAAGAAGAACTACATTTTCATAAGAACAACTCATTTCTCGTCATCTCTTGTTCACACACGTCGCTTTGCAGTCCAGACAAATACTCGAGCTCTGGAATGCGGCATACTTCTTCATTAATTCGATCGTAGTATTACGTGTCTTTCTTCATTTTTTTCTCTCATGTCTATTTGTCTAATTCTACTCTTTATTTATGTACAGTTAGATGATAATGTGGCTTACTAATTATTCTTAAACGAACCGTTTCACACTCGTCCTTTTGATGAATGGATTGGTATTTGTGGTATTATCTTTTTATCAGTCCACTTTACGTGACCATTATTGCTGATACTAGTCATATTCGTACAATTGATGTTCAACAAGATGAACGTGTTCGACTTGAATGTACAGTGACATCGAAATTAGATGCCGAAGAGGTATGTGTCGAATCTTCTTTCTCTTTCTCTTTCTCTCTCTCTCTCTCTCGCTTAAATGAGTTTACTTCTACCGGAGGTGAATCAATTTTCTAGACACTTATTCGTAGTGATTATCAATGCTTGAATGCATTGATGTCCTTGCTATCTATTTATCTGTCGTTTTTAGGCCATGTGGATGCGCATTCGAGCACCGCACAATCCTGATATATTGACTTATCGAGATAGTGTTGTCTATGCACCAGATCGTATACAACTTGAACAACGCGTTAGATCAAGTATAGATCCTAATGGAACATTTATGAATACATATTATTTAACATTAACTATTTTACGACCAACTACTGATGATGAAGGACGATACCTTTGCTCAAGAACAAAAAATATTTTTGCTGAATATGATCTTTTTATAATTGGTAAAGAGAAAATAAACGATAAATTAATGATTATTTTCTTCTTATTATTATTCACATAGTTCCACCTCAATTTGTTGATGATAATAGTTTCTTTCAACAACGCAGTATTATTGAAGGTTCAACACTTCAACTCTCTTGTTCAGCGTCTGGCCGACCGAAACCTTCGATTACTTGGCTGTATCGTACAAATGATAGGAAACATGTTCCATGTAAATATGAAAGGAAAACACTTTTTTTGAATGAATGAAAGAGGTGTAAATCGAAACAGACTCTATGTCGTCGTTTGATTTCCGTTGTTGTCGAACATGAAAAAAAGTAGATATGACATGTCAATGGTGTATCCTTACAATGTCTTTAGATATTTCCCGCGTTCAAGTTGACCGATCCTTCCTTTCTTACATTTACGTCATCTCTACATCAGATATTCAAATAGAAGAAGAAGAAAAAAAAACGAACAACTGTGCGTGCGTTTTTCACACATTGTTCTCACATAGTACAAAAGAGGATCTTTATTGATTTAATCTGTCAGATAAAGATTGATTAAAACTATCTACTGACAGATTATGTCAATGACAACGACAAAAAGCTTTAGTTTAGTCATCGTTTTGTTTTTGTTCTTCATTCTAGTTGGCGATGGTACAAGCTGTCAAGATACAGTATGCGAATTGCATATAGCAAATTATTCGCGAAACGATCCCACGACCATTGAATGTGTTGCTGATAATGAAAAATCAACAAGAATATCGAAAGTTTTTAATGTGGATGTTTTTTGTACGTCTTAATAGAATAATTATTGATATTTAATGCAATATTCTATTTCTAATTAGATCCACCAAAACTGTCACACAACGTTCAAACATTTACAGGTACGAAAAGTATTGAAATTCTTATTCAATGTTCATCTACATCGAATCCACCAACGTCAATTGTTTGGCTTGATCATAATAGAGAACAATTGTATAATTCAACTATTTTCAGTATAAAAACGATGAATCAATCGTCAATATTATCTTTTTTTGCCGTATGTTCTGATATTTATTGATGAAAATGAAAAAGATATCTCTAGCGGGTTTTCTCGTCTTTTAGTATCCACAAAAACATCCATCCCATGTTTTCTATTGTCACAGTGATAATGCCATCGGAACAGATGAAAAATTAATTAACATCTCAAGTATAAACATGTCGATTTGTAAACAATTAAAAATCTATTCAAATATTCATTTAGAGTTTGTTCAATTAGATTCATTAATTATTCGTGAAACAACAACACCATTGCCAACATCATTTACTACTCAAGATTTATCTCAATCCAAAAAACAGAAAACTGGTAGCGTTATTTCTTTTGCAATTTCTTCTTGTTTTATTTATCCTATTGCTTTTTTTTAGTAAGACCAAGTCGTGCTCGATCTAAATCCTTCTCAGCAACAACAGAAACGCTTAACAATGCAACAACAATATCTTCGTCGACTCATATAATCTATTCTTTTTCAAATAATGTTTTTTATATAGTTTTAAGTCTAGTTGTCTTTTGTTTTTAATCTTCGTATTTATTATGTATTTGGTAACTCTTGCAATAATTGAATTATATATAAAAAATAAAGAACAACAGAAAAACGAAACGAAAAGAAAAACACAACTAGAAAATTTTGTTTTTACATTTAAAAAAGAAGACAGAATTAAAACTTCGTATTGCACTGTATTTGTTTTTTCTTTCTCTCTTTTAATTTGACTATCGAATTAAACTAATGAATATTGTTCTTGTTCCTGATGTTTATGTGTCGTTGGTAATTCTCTATTTGGACGATGAAGTGTTGATCCTCTAGAAAGAAAAAGTAATTCAAAAGTAAAATATTTGTTTAACAATCAAACCTGAGAAAAGCAAAATGTTGATCATATGTTGCATAAAGATGTTTTTCTGAATCATCATTAGCATCTGCTGACGATGGACGATCTAATGAAAATCCATGGAAATGACATCTAAAACATTTTCGAATAAATTTAATAAATCAAAAACATTTAATCATAAACATACTTTTGAAATGAATGTTTAGTAATTGGACTTTGAGTAAAAGATGAATGAACACCGGAATCGGCTGATGATGAACTTTGATCAGCTAATATATGATTATTATTATTATTATTATTATTATTAGATAATTTTTTGGTATGAAATGCTGCTTGTTTTGCTGGTGGAACGTATGTAAATGCAGAAAAAATTTCACCTTGAGACGACGATATTGTTGAAAGAACACTTGATGATGGCTGAGGAGGCTGATATTGATTGGATACGAAACATGTGGAAGGTATTTGTACAAGTGGATTTCGTTTTGAAGATTCTTGATCATCGAGCGCCGAAGATTCAAGAATTATTGGACGAAAATATCTTTCGGACGAAGTCGTAGATGGACGAAGGTCTATTTAAAAAACAGAAAATGTTTTTTCAGGAGAAAAGCACCAAAATATATATATTTAATTCAAGATCTACTATTAACTTTTATTGCACTCGCGGTGATTTTAGTAGTGTCACTGATAGAATAAACATAGAAATAGAGTAGTCAGTTCATCATCGATAGTCTAATGGTACGAATAGAACGATCTGACGTATCTCAAACGTCGTACGAATTAACTTGATCAATCCAATACACTGTTGACAATGAACGGGTAGACAGTAGGACGATTTGAAAACTCTTATTTATCTCATGTATGAGACTGTTTTGTTTTAATACTAGGTTACTATGATAAAAGGAAAGATGTGAGATCGCATTATAACAAATCATAGATTTTAGACTAAAGTTTTTTGTTTCATCATCATTTATTCAGCCGTCAGTAAATCGACGAATACATTTTTATTGATGATAAGTATTTTTTTTCTTCTCTGAAATAATTCACACTCATTTTTGATAAAATCAAAACTTCATACCTAAACTATCTGTAAGAATATTTGAATGAGGATTTTCTCTCCATAATGTACCATGCTTATTGTGCTCTTTACAATTTAACGAAAAGCCAGTAACAGCATATGGATTAATATTTCCTTGAGAATCTTCTACGAAAACAAAATTCATTAATAGTTATAATGAACTGATTTCAAACTATACCTGATGCATAACTATATGGACGATTACTTGTATCTACTTGATCATTTGCATAATTTTCTATTGTAAATTCGTTATTACTTTTTAACCATGTACTATGATAATGATGAGGAAACGACGAACATACAGTAGGTTTTAATTTTCGTGTTTTTTCAAGAAATAGATCTAAAACTAAGAATTATATTTTAATAGAAATTTAAAATTTATATTTACCAGCTTTTTTAAAATGTACTGGACAAAATTTGATAAGAATAAAAATACTAAGCGATAAAATCATCAGCACTAAAACCGTACCAATACTAATAATAACAGCATAGGAAGTTTTTCTTGGTAAATTAATTTGACTTTTGTCATTGGCTGTTCGAAATAAGATTATTTTTATTGTTTCACCCGCTTGACTGTTTACTTTAATATGTAATTGATAATCTTGATTAGGTTGAAGATTAGCAATTCGAATAGTTTCAAAATTGTTTTTAAATGAATAATATCGATGCTGATCATTATCAGTTGTATTTGCTAACGAAGATAATTCGATATCATACGATAGAATTAAACATTGATTTATTATCCAATTTGACATATTTAATACAATAAAATTATTTGATATAGTTTCAATTAAATCTTTTGGCTGTGCTAATGAAGGAACTTTAAAGAAAAAGAATAGCCTTGATTTAGTTTTTATGCAAAGAAAAAATATTTACCGGAGCCATCCGTTTTTCCAATTACATATTCCTTCAAACTAAATCCAACTTGATTCTTTGCATAGATTATTATTTCATAGATATTCCCACAAGAAAGATTGGTTAAACGAATATTTAATAATGGAGGAGATACTTGATATTCATTGATATTAAGATTTTGATTTGTTTTATATGATATTACTACACCCTCAATTATATCTGGTGGATAGGTTAACTTTATACCGATCTCATTCGATGTCGTATAGTAAATGTTTGCATTGATTGGCGATGGTTTATCTGAAATAAAAAGTAGTCCGCATTATTTGCATCTGATCTGAAGCGAACAATTCTTATACCATATAATTGAATGTTATATCGTTTTGTTCCACATTGATATTGGCCATTGATTTCAGTTAATTTAGAATGAGGTATATAAAGAGAATTATTACTCGAGATATATTCATCAATTGATTTTTCTCTAAAAATTATATTTTTCAATATTAATAATTATTGAAAAAATAAATGAATATATATTTTTTTCATACTTGTGCAGCCAAGTACTTGTTAATGGACAGTCAAGTAAGAGTGGATTGTTTAATGGATGTGCAATTGTCATTGGCATATCCACATCTTTAATGAAACAAATACAAATATTGAATGTTTTGTTTCTGTATGGCTTTCATAGTAAGATTGTCTGATATGAATATATATTGAAGCCACACAAAAAAAACATTTTCAACAAAACTGTCTAGTCTGACGAATTAATATCCTGTAAAATAGTTTAGGTTCATAAATGAATACAATAGTCTTCTTTAGGAACATTAGATACATTGATTTTTATCGGATTTCAAAAGAGAAGTTTGCTACAGAAAAGTCTTGAGTGATTACTTTCGGTAAGGTTGGTCGCAATACAAGGTTTTCCATTGAAATATCGAGAAATAATCATCTGGATATTCCCGAGGAGGAGAGTGACATTTATTTTGAAAATAGTACACATTTTAGGTATTTACACAATGATGAGCCAAGGAGATGACCTCGTCTTAGGGTATGCACAATTTAATTGATTGGACTAATTCCGTCATTGGCCTGAGAGCCGTTCTAAATTATGCTACTAACATACGCGACATATTTCTCAGACAATCTTGATGGTCATCTTCTAATAATCAAGTCATGGTTGTATGCTATTTTTCAATTCTAGACCGTCAGACCGAGGTCAAGGTCGGCCTTAATATGCGTCGAGCGCGACAGACATGTAATTGATCATTCATATCATTGTTTGTTTGACATACTAAATGAGTTAACATGATAAATCATAATAGCAAAAGTCAATTTCATCCTCCGGAAATTGATTTTATTGAGTCAATAAAAAATTCTATTTATTTCTCTATCGCTTAAAAGAAATTATTTTTTGCATTGCTATATACGCATATTTAGTTGTAATTTATCTTTGAAACCTATAAGAACGTTTTAGAGAAAAAAGATTAATTTTTCTACGATAAAAGCTGAAGATCAAGATTCGTAATTGAGACTTGACTTACTTAATAATGGAGTTTTAATTTGAATAGCCGATGATGATGATCCACAATCAACAGAATTACATATGGCAACCGAAATGTAATACTCCGTTGATAGATAAAGATGATGAACTATCAGACTTGAATTTACTGTTTCAATTGTAATTAAAGTTGACATATCTAACAGAAAAAAATCGAAATTTCTTTTCTTTTTTTTTTTTTAAATTCTTACTAAAATTTTCATAGATCGTAACTGCAAATGCTCGAAATTTTCCATTGAGTAGTTGAAATTCAAGATTTTCCAATGTCCATGTAATAAGAACAGATGAACTATTCAATAGTATTGCTGCTAAATCCATAATAGTAGCAAGAGGCACTTAAACGGTAAACATTCCTAATCTTTAATTTTGATTTAATCAATATTAAACTTACCACTTTCTAGTGTTTGTATAGTTAATGATTTTGATTTTGGGCTGGGCCCCATTTCATTTGTTGCATAAACAACAAATTTGTATCGAGTAAAGCTTTTTAAATTATTAATAGTAAATACTGTTGAATGGTGTTTATACGTTTGAATAATACGTTGACTGTGTTCATCAATTAATTCAATAATATATTCAATAAATGAATCGTTACATAACTGCAATGATGGATACTAAAATAAATTATACGAGCATATAATTCTTCACTCTTATTCTTTTTTTTGTGTACTCAAAAAGTGAGTACACTCTAGAATCGGTCAGGGTGTCCGTCCGGCCGTAGGCACGATAACTTTCGAAAGGAGAGTCAGATCGTGATGAAATTATCCACACAGTTCAATCTCATGAATATCTCGGTCGAGTTCGAAGATGAGAAGGATCTCTCAAGAAATGGTTGAGCTATCGAAAAAATTGTCATTTTTGACCGGACCATCCCTGAGGAGGGGTACAGGGATTTTTTTTCAAAAAACAAATTTTTCTCAGAACTATTCACAACATATATAAATCGACTCAGTTTTTAACGCTGATTCCGAATTTGATATTAGTTTTGAACTAAACCGTAGCTTTCTGACGAAACATCGCCTGAAAAACGTCTCAAAATGCACAAAAACTGCATCTAGAAATCAAATTGGCTAGTTTCTCATGATAATTTTGGTGTACAGACATTCTAGAATGACTCATATGTCCCATGCACTTTTTACAGTACACATAACTTTCGGATGAAATCCGAAGTTTCCACATTTATTTCTTCTACAAAATGAAACATCTCCACTTTATTTCATATTTCAGTCAAATAACATTTTATTTATTTTGGGATCTATTTTCTTTCCGTAATAAGTTACTCGAACGATTTAAACATACCTGCCATGCCAGTATAACACTTTTTGATGAAAGATTAACTGTAGTAAGATCATAAGGAGCAATTAGTAGTTCTACAATAGAGAAAATATAAGCAATGAATATTTATCGTATGATTATGTACGCTGGATGTTAGCTTGAAATTGAAAATGACTAGGTAATGATGAACCAATTACATTCACTGCTTTGATTGTTATTGATATAGTACATTTTGAATAAAGATTTTCAAATAAATAATTGGTTATGTTACTATCATTAATGGCGACTATTGTTTCATTCGACCACGATAGTCCTGAATTAAATGAGAAAATTAAACAAAAAAAATTTAAATCAATAAATCGATAATTACCTTGTCTATATTTAATATGAAGAATATATTCTAAAATCTTTGCATTTCCATCAAACGGCTTAATCCAAGTGACTTGATTTGAATTTTCAATAAAAATATTTTCTATTTTATCTGGTACAGTCTGTACAATTATTTCGAATTTAGCTCGATCTTCTGAATAATTATTTTTTGCATAGCATTCATATAAACCACTATCGGACATTTGTATATTATCAATTGTTAACGATAGAGTTTTTTGATTATTATTACTACTTATTTCAATTGCATTAAAACGTTTTGCTGACGGAGTTAATAATTTCAATTCGAATTGATTATCACCTTCAGCTAAACAAAAAATATTTAGCGTTTCATTAATTTTGACGATTTTATTTGATGTTAAAGATAAAATCTTCGATGGGATTTGTATTTTCACGTGAACCGATTTTGAATCGTCTCCGTATGGATTTTTTGCTTCACATATATAACGTTTCGATTGTGTATTAATCGATGTTAATAGAATCGGTGATGTTAATGATGTATTAATGACGTTTTTTGTTGTATCATCAATCCATTTCAATTGAAGATTGCCTTGTCCAGATGCATAACAAACAAGAGTAAATGATTTACCACTGGCTATAGTAAGATTTGATATTGCCTGTATATGTGGTTTTTGTCCTTCGATATTAATATGTTTAGAATGTGAAATTGATCCAAAAGAATTTTTAGCTCGAAATTCATAAAGACCAGTATCATCGATGTTTCTTATTAAAATACGATAATGTGTAAAAATATCTCCTGATGATAAAACATGTATTTGATTATTTGATACGATTTGTTCACCATCTTTATATAAATCGATCATCGGTATCGGATCGGCATAAACGGTCATATTAAGATCAATTGACACATGTGATATATTTTTTGATGAAATTAAAATAATATTTGAGTTTGTCTGGTGATCGGAAAGGATAAAAGGCGGTGAATCTAAATAAATATATAGGCAAAGTTTGTTTAGAAGAAGAAGAAGAAAAAAAAATCTACCAGATGAACATGTGTTGAAAGACTATTACTTCCCGGTAATGGAATAGAATGTATACGTGCTGATGAACATTCTTTTGTTTATCTCAACTGTCATTGATAGAAACAAAAGCAGAACTTACTGATGACACGAAGTTGAGTTTGTGCACAACAAGCATTTGAATCTGAAGAACTTATGATGTAACAACATTGATACATTCCCATGTTGTCTCTTGTTAGATTGTTTATTAGATATCGATCACCGTTCATCGGTAGTCGATTAGAATTATAATACCATTGCCATTGACTTGGTATGGATTTAATTGAATTAGTTGTACAAATTAGTTCTGTATTTGATCCGGCACTAGGATTATTTTCTTGAATAGACATTTTACATTGAAGTGGAACTAAGACAACAATAAAAGATAAATAACAAGAATCTAATTAGGAAAAGAAAATGTTAACATACGAGAAACTTTTAATGACATAGAAGATATCATACGTCCACCTGAATCATCATCAATACGGCATGCATAATTGTCAGAATCATTCGAAGATATACGAGAAAGTTGAAGAATTAAAGAATGATTGTAAAGTCTTTCAGTGATATTTTCCATTTCTACACTATTTTTCCACCAGGATACTCGTACATGTGTTGATACCGATGATATTCCACATGGCAATTCAATACGATCACCAGCTTGTGCTCGATATTCTGTATTATTTGGTATTGATAATTCAGGTACAAATGGTAAACGATCTAAATTATTAAATTGTCACGCGAGAAACGGAAACAAGCAATTTTTACCTCGAACACGCAATGGTTTAAATCGACTATGTCTGGTGTCATTATCAATTTGATTGTTAACAATACATGCATATGCTCGATTATCATCGGAACTTGTTATATTATGTATAATCAAATTTTTATTGGATAATAAATTATATTTAGTTCTTGGCCCTAGATGGATTAACATTTCTGAAGTTATTCTATTTGCTTTCTTTCTTTATTAATAATCTTACGTAAATTCAGTTGAGTGATTTGATTATTTATTTTTTCCAACCAACCTACGATATGTACATAAGAACTAGCTGATGGTGGTGATATTTCACATGATAATATAGCTGATGATTGTTTATATCCATAGGTATTTTTAACGTCAACTTCATAGGTATCATAGATTTCTAAAGATAACAAAGAGAAAAAAATGTATTTTAAAAAAGCGGATATTGCTTTTATTTCATTTCTCTGCCTTAATCTATCATACATAACACTCTTAGTGTCCGAAAGGTCAATAATGACGCAATTATATTAAGTTAATGCATCAAAAAGGAATTCGATTAGAAAAATTTGCGTGCTACCACAAGAAACGATTAGTTGACGCATGAATGAATTACTCTAACTTTTATATCTATATACATATAAATGCAGAGAGGGAGCGCACAGATTGAATCATCTGTGCATACTCGTTCACCAATTTCTAATTACATATTTCACTATGTGAATATTGAAGATTATTCTTAATAGAAATAACAATTGAATCTCATTTTCAATTCATTCTATTTGCCCACAGATTTCTTTATTCGACTTCAGTTCATTCTGCCACTCGAATTCAATAATTGTATGTTGATTTAAGATTTTCTATTTTCAAGAGTGTGTGATCGATAACACCAGCAGTGCACACACACACATACACTTCGAAACTAAGTCGACCATAGCTCACCTATCATCATCATCCTCCAGACAAAAAAAACAATAGAAAATGGCCGCTAGTGTGTCTTACGTGAACTATTACAGACATATATAGCAATAGATGCCGAGTCATCTGGTTTTTTTTTAGACCGAACACAGTCAATAAATATTTGGACATGACGTGTGTGTGTGCGTACGAAGGCACGTCGACCAGTCACACAATGATGCTACTTTCAATCTATACTGATTAGCAAGGATCGTCTATTTACTTGAAACATTTGTATATGTCACAAACAATTTACTAATTTCTACGACACGCACATTCTAATCTAAATATTGAATTCATAGAAGGAAAAACATAGAAGAAAAAAAAAGAAGTAACTCCTATATTGATCTTTTTTTCTTTGTCTTTCTGTTTCAATTCAATGTACATAAAAATCAATGCGATATTGTACAAGATTTATATATGTATATTGAACACAGTAGGAGTTCTGATATCAAACTATGTTCTCACTACTAATGCATAAGCACGCCTGTGTCTATATGTATTGTTCATTTAATTGAGTACACAGGGAGAAATATAGTGTACATGCGAGTAAGTGAGTGAGAGAGAGAGAGAGAGAGGGAGCGAAGGAAAATTTGCACAAGTGATAATCACCGTATATACATACACACATACACATATGCTCATTCGTTAGCACTTGTCAAGAAGTCATTCTGCATACATACTTATGTTCATCGTGATTTCCGGCTGGTGATGAATAAAAGATAATCTACTGCGGAGCGATTTATTAGCAGAATGTGTCAGTCTAATCTTACTGTCGTTGTCGTTCTCTGTGAGTGCTTAAGTGGTACTATTCAGGATCAGCCATATGGTTGTCTCGTGTACACGACGAAATAAATAATAATGATATTGACATTTCTTTTCAAATAAATAGGCAAGCATACTATGGACTAGACTCTATCAAATTACAATAAGTCGGGAGGTGAAATTTCAAGAATGTGTTTGTACGGCTATTTTACTTTTGTTTTGCCAAGAGCATATCTTTATAGATAGATATTACAATGCTAATTTCATCAATGTATAAAGTTCATTTTCATTTCTTCTCATTCTACTCACGTGGTTTAAGTTGAACGGCTATTGTTTGTATACTACCAGCTGCATTTTCTGCTCGACAAATATATTTACCAGCATGTATAGCTTTTGAATAATCTCGAAATGGCCTTATGAATAAACTACCGTTTTCATAGACATCACTAAAAATAAAAGAAAATATTAAAAACATTAAATTCAATGTAAATATGATGTATTGTTTTTCTTGTTAAATGATCATCAATGTTGATTACTCTATTTGACAGGTGTCGAATAATAATTAAAAACGAATTTCCGTTGCGCTCTATTGCGAATATATACATATATAAATGTATATAAATATGCCTTTGAGTTTGCCGCTGAGCAATCCGCAGCTGATGCCCGTAAAATGATCAATGGTTAACAACTGAAAACAAGAGAAAAGCATGATAAGATGTCTCACATGAGTTCAGAAGACTGGACAAATGTCGACGGTCGATCATCACTACCGTTCGTCCGGAACCATGTTAATAATGGCGATGGAGTACCACTAGCTGTACAATCAAGTCTTGTACCTAAATTATTGTAATAGAGTCTTTGTCTATTTGACACGATTGACATAAAACTCGGTCCAATAGGATGGTAAATTGTTACCACACCTAAACGAATCAAACAAACAAACAAACAAATAAATCAATAAGCAAATATAGATAAACAGAATCGTTCTCTCCGTCTACTTTATGTAACAATATTTAATCAAAGCTCATAGTTGAGTAATTATGCACTTTTTCTTATTCTATATTATACAGCTGTTCCCAGCCCACTGTTAGTCTATTGGGATTTTTCATATTTTAACATGTACACATATGTATGTATGTATGTATGTATGTATATAGATGAAAAGAGTTAGGTAATCGAGAATGTCACAAAAAAGGTTCATCTAGATGTTAAAAAGAAACAATAGAAAAAAAACGAGAAGAAAATTATGTATTCAGGCATGACATTGATTTCATATGAACGAGATTCTAGTTAAGATGACCTTGCCATGTTTTTCCATCGTTTTAAGATACATTCATTATATTGTTAGACATATTCTGCTATTTCAGCTGGTAACATTCACTAGATAACAATGCTTGCACACGTTAATGATGCAATCTGTACTAGGCATATGCGGTCTCATTAGTGCAATCTGCTATGTTCTCTCACCGAATAAATATGACAAATTATTCTATTAAACAGGGCAAATATAAAAGACAAAGCTGATCTTACCTTGCTGATAAAAGACAAGACACAATAGAATATGAATGATTGTCTTCATTTTCATCTCGAACCATGAAAAATTATCACCATCACATTGACGGATAAGATCATATAACTTGACATAAAAGACACTTGTCGATACTGCTTTACTATCTATATCAATCGTACAGCGTGTATCAAATGTATGAGAGAAAGAATGAGGTGAGAATGAACGAACTAAAAAGAAGAAACAAAAAAAAGGAGAAAAAGAAAATAAATATGAACATTGGTTGTGCTGTTAGAATAACAAATATAAGGCTACCCAGAAGAGTATGATGGTAGTAATAGTGGTCGTCTTAGTGTTATAGTATACTGAGTGTCCCTCTTGCGGGTGCTCCCTCTCCCTCTCTCTCTCTCTCTCTCTCTCTCTCTCTCTCTTGCTCATTCACCATGGGTCTACACAAGACAAATAAACTTTATAACTAGTATATAAGAAAAGAAATAAAGAAGGGAGGGAAGAAGAAAAGTTGTGGCTGCTGCAACACAGACCGAAAGTCAAATCATCTCTTCGTTCCTAATTAGAGACGATCGAGAAACGAGAAAGACAAAGAGAAGAAGAAAGCAGAGACGAGAAAAAAAAACTTGTAAGAGTAAGAACGACAAGAAGAAGAAAAAAAAGAAAACAGAAAAGAATAATCCATCTTTTCATAGTTGCGCTATGAATACGAGACAACGAAAGCTAATGCGGCTCATGGCCAACAAACGTTATGTGCGATGTCCCATTAATTCAACATTTGCCTGTCGTTATCTAAAGGATTTCTTCCAACTACATAAAGATATAGATACGTGTATGTGTATGTATATACATACATAGATCTCTATATCTCTATATTTATATATTTGTGAATGACAACTTGTTCACTGCGTAACCAGCTCCATTAACTCTTATATTAGAGACTGACAAGCAACTGTTGTTTTACTAATGAGATTGCATAAAACATCGAATGAGAAAATGATGACCATTCGGTTGTCTTCATCATTCTCATTAAGACAGGCCCAATCGTTTACTCTTGTATATCTATGTGTTTCAAATTTCAAACATGTTGACGACATTTCAATGATAATCGATGAGATGAGATTGATCAATTCAAATGAATTTTTCTTCACGTTCTTGTTTTTTAATACCTATATATATATATATATATATATATACACGATATGAATACTGCTATTTCTTTCTTTCTTTCTCCTTACGGCGAGTGGCCATCATGTGTACTAGATGTATGTGTGCAAGAACAAGAATGCCTAATTGCAGTCATTAGAGTGTTCTTTCTCCTTTGCTTTCGAGGTCCCAAATGGTACCATACACGCACACCCATCCACTAAAGCAAAGATAATACGTAGAAGAGGAGTGTGTATGTGTATGTGTCGCGTTCTTGAGATTGTGAAGATATGATGAGTATGTTTGGCGGCATGGTATTGTTGTTGACACTATGCATTTATTTGCAATAAGGTTTCTTTTCTATTGCATGTTGATGATGCTGTTTTAATGTGATTGTTTCCGGCTTCACTTCTCAATCGATAGATTTCTTTTTTTTTATGACTATACATCTTGTGAATAGCTGTAACAAGGTCATGTGTTTATGAGACGGCATTTTTTTAATAATACAAAAAAAAAGAGCGAGAACCCGATCTAATAGAGATTGCGAATTAAAAATGACAGACGTCTAAGCTGAAGTTGATAGTTCAATGACATTAAGAGAGAGAGAGAGAGAGAGAGAGAAAGAGAAAGGAGAGACAACGAGTAGAAAGGGCGGGTTAAATGAATTTGATTTTGTTCGAGTACAACAATGATTATTATTGAAATCATGCACACATATTGTATGCAACACCTTCTGTTACTTTAAGTACTTCTATTGAAAACGACAGAGAAGACACTTACTTGTCAAACGTTAGTACGATTGCAATGGATCAATGATCATTGGTCATTGAAGGCCAAAATAGAGAAAAAAAGCTAAAATAAAAAATTCACATGTGCCTGTGAACAAATTAAGTTATCTGACAATATAAATATCGTGCACGACGGAAATTGATTTGCATCAGAGAACACAAGAGAGACAATGCTTGACATTCTGCCGTAGCGGAAGTCGATTAGGCTCATCTATGTTAAGCACCTCTGTTTGAAGAGTAGCCTAAGAACTGGCACTGATTAAAAATGAGATGCAAATACTTAGTGCATTCGATAGTTAACGAATGAACAGCACGTTCCACTCATCATCGAACTAGCTTACTGACCTTGTGTCTGCTCCCTACGGAGACAGATCGGCCATATTAAGGCACGTGCTCCTGTCTTTACGCAGACTGACAAGATTATGTCGCTGAATGAGAAATTCTTTCTATTTCTATCTTGTATTGTCATTTCTGTCATTTACTACAAATGAGCATGATCTAAATTGACAAGATAGTTTGTTTGGAAATTTCTATTTTCGATGATAAACGTCTTAGCATCAAAATAAATTGCGATTTATTCACTAAAAAACTACAAGGATGCCGGCGTTACTAATTTATTATGTATTAATACGTTGACACATTTATGCCGTGCATGTAAATGTTTCATTATTTATTTCCCAAAGCTTAATATTTAAATATTTAACAGTCTGTTTGAAACATTATATTGTACATATCTTCTTCTTTTACTATTTCTCGGTCACTTATTTTTGCATAGAGCAGCACACAAACTATTCTTATACATACTCTTGTTCTATTTCCTAACATCTAGCTACCTTCCCCACTTGAAAGATTTCGAATCAAAGATCAAACAGACAGCATCATCATGTGTGTGTTTGCATGTGTTTTTTTGAGTAAAGATTCTTGATTAATAGTAAATGAAGCGCATAGATCAAGTGATTACACATGAGAATTGTCAGAGCCAAGACATTATGAATAAACGAGAAGTTATTGTCTAACATAAGTGTAGGCTAACAGAAAAATATATCTATGTGCATACATGGAAGAATATGCACAAAGAATAAAGGCAAACTGTTGTTGTCGAATACATGCTATCAATGTAATCACTCACGTAGGACAAGTTATAATTGTATACATTGAACTTAAAGCTTCGTTTGTCTCTCATGCACATACTAGTCATCAGAATATACATTTATTTCTATGTTGATCTAGTTCATAATTGAAGAAAATGATCGAATATTGTGCTTCTAGTTTTTCCTGGGTCAAAATCAATCAGAGCATAAAAATTGAAATGTTTACTTATTCAAGTATTTCGTTAAGAATCTATTTAATGATAAAATGAAATTATTAATGTCTAGATTTAATATAGAAGATGTGATAATTGAGACAGCAATGGCAGTGTCGTAAAAAATATTTGTCTTGATTCATCATGCTTCAATTATAGCCAATAGAAAGAAAACAGTTTTGAAGAACATTAAACGGCTTCTCCAGCGTTGAGTAAGGCTTCACATTCAAGGACACTTTCCTTATAGAAAGTCTTTTGTGGTTTGTTTAATGATTCGATTGTGTATGCATTTCAGGAAACAAAAAATGGCAAAAAACGTGAACACATCAATTTATGATTAATCATATTCGATCTTCATAGATTCGATGCAGTCAATTAAAAAGAATAAGATTGAAAACAAGGTCACTATCTATAATAAGAATACTAAAGAGACACGTAATTCTCAATGGTTTAAATTTGCGAAGAGAACGAAGATTCAATCCGCACTTTGTTTTTCTTTCTTTTCTACATTCTATTGTATTTAATACTTAGATGGGATCTGTTTTTAGCTGCCTGTCGTATAATGATGATGATGATAATCAATAAAAGAGAAAATTGATTGAATGAAATAGGGTTTTGTCTTATCTTATAAAATATCAATCATTAAATAAAAATTCAACATTGTTAGTTTTAATGAAATACGGTTTTTTTTATACGAAACAACATTATTTTAATCTGAAATATCTACGAATCGTTTGGTTTTCATGATGATGATGATGATGATGATGATGGACTTGTTTGAATCGTTGAATCTTTTTCTTCATCGTTATTATCAATTAAATGTGTAACTACGTATGAGCCTGTATTCCAGAATTGCGTATCTTCATAAATTAATAGATTCTTGTCTTTTTCTTTCGTAGTTTCACTTGTTTTGCTGCTAGACGAAATACGTACTTTCGATCGGCATTTAAGAATAAAATGATCTGGGAATCTGTAAATAAATTTTGATTCTTTATTTACATCGCGTCCAATCATCCATCCTGTCATATTTTGATCTTTTTTAGTTGAACCATCATGTTCAATATCAATATAATGATCAGTATTATTCACATCAACAATTTTAATACTGCCTAGGCGTATGATCATAATAAAACATCAAATAATAATGAAATACATCTTTAACAGTACCCTTTTTTGAGGTGGCTTGTGCAGAATTCTTCTTGCCACTTTTTGCCAGAGATGATTTCTCGGAGAATTCATCAAATAATGCTTTTACGTCAGATAGCCAAGAAAAATGACTCGATTCTTTTGCGTCCTAAATTAATCAACCAGAAAATGTTTCTAGTAGGAACTACACCCGATGAATCTTTACGGGGCTTTTGATTGTTTGTTTTCGTGCAACTTCAATAAATTTGATGCATGATATTGCATTTTCATTGATCAGATAGATATTATTTGACATGGATTCAATTTCTGTACGAAGAAGTTTTAACTTTTCATTCCATCGAGCAAGATCAGTTTCAAAAAAGTCATCCAATTCTCGAGCTCGACGTAATTCAGAAGAGATTTTATTCAGCGAATCTGTTCCATGATCTATAATACTATCAAGTATTTTCTGCAATTCAGCTCTTGCGTCTGTAGCTGTTTGTTCAATTCTAAGAATAGATTCTTTTTCCCATTGATAGATTTGATTGAAAATTATATGCTCATCATGTTTTTGTGCTTGATTTAATAAATCTTGATAAAAAATATCATGATTTTGTTCGATAATATCAATTTCCGAAACTAATTCTTGACGATGTTCAGTAACATGTTTTAAACAAAATGAATGCTGACAACCATCACATGAAAAGGATCCTGCCGTTTTATCACATTTTGAGCAAACTTTTTTCGACATTGCACTATCATTTACCGCCATAGTTGCTGATTCACTCGTGCTTATCGATATTGAAAAACGTAAAGAGCTACTTTCTTATTGTATTTTGTTGCTCTTACATAGATATTTGTTTGATTTATTACGCTTCAATGGAGCGCACTCCGTATTAAACATAGTTTCATGCAATTACTAAGCATGCACGACAAATATGCACATGATTATAAGGTTCGAATCAGTTTTTCTGGATAATTGCGCAGCCTATACATTATATTCTATGCAAGAGTATTTACTATAATCAAGAACCATCGCTAACGATCATTTGTATACAAATGGGATTTTTTAATAGTCAAAGTGTGAATAATGGAACCCTTGGCAATGCTAAAAATACATTTTTCTCCTGCGAACTAAAGCAATTTCCGTTAGTTTTTCTTCGAATATTTGGCAAAAAAAGGAAAAGCTTTTTGTATAATATAAAAATATTAATTATCATCTGAACAATGCAATGATTACTGAAAAAGAAAAACGTTGAAACAGATACACTTAATAAGATAAGGCGATCATTTTAAACTAATACCATATGAATGCGATGTGCTTCTTTTTTTCATTGTGATGAATTCTAAATTTTATTAAATTCAAATATTTTACCAGAACTAAATCGAGAACAATGAAGTCTAATTGAATGGAGAAACAGTATTAAAGAGGCAAAAGCCAACTTAACATGAAGATTTTTGACTTATACTCGAGCTACGGAATGCATTTATTTTTATTTCGTTTTTTTTTGTTGTTGTTGAAAAAACAAACAGAACATCAAAACTAGAATTAATTTGTCGCAAATGTAACTTCTTTCGTCAATCGAAATTTAGCTGGTGATCCTATGGGACGTAGAATACTTTTCGGTCGATCATTCAATCCTTGCATAAATCTGTCATTGTTTTCAGCAGATAACATATTTGAATAATGATTGATTAATGATACAACTTGTCGATTGGAATTCAGTGTAGCATTATACCATGGCGAAATTGATTCTTGTCCAGCCCAGGTTTTTTCTCGCCGAATTCCAATCGAAGGACTTGTATGTTGTGATACTGAATGACTATATCGTCCACCGGCGCTGGCTCGTTCTTCGGGCGAAGTATTTGATGTTAAAGTTCGATCGCGTAGTCTTTGCACAAGTTGCATCCATATTTGATAAGATAATTTCGGATTATTCGGTTGTTCAGACGTAAAATTTGTTGAGAACATTTTCCTATTTTCATTACGTGGCGAGAGTATAGCTGGCGTATAAGTAGATTCTTCGAATGATTTAACATGAAGATGATTACATACAAGCATACTAGATTTATATGGAGATTCAACGCCATAAAAACATTTATAATTTGGTGCACTAATAATAGACAAAAATGCTTTTTTCATTAAAAAAGAAATTTACAATCATTATCCTACCATTTATCACTGGGTTTTCTTCTAATTGGTAAACTTCGTCTTTGATAATAATAAGCCCATTCATTTAATTTTGGCTCCACATGTTGTAACCATTGTTCACATGTTAGATGATATTCATCGTCGATAGCAAACGGTGATGCATCGGTATGATCAATTAAAAACATGGCATTATCAAATCGAGATGATTTTATAGCTAATATTAATGGTGTATAGCCCATCTCTGTTTTACAATCCATTGAAAGTCCAATTGATTTCATTTCATTGATAATAGCTGAAAGAATCGGTGCTTGCGATGATGATGCTGCGTGATGTACAATTAAATAACTTTCATGGTCAACAAGACGCCAATCAATTGATTTTGTTCGTAAAAATAGTGCAACAAGTTTTGCACGATTTAATAAACATGCATAAACAAGCGGAGTTTGTTGTTGAGAATCAGTTGCATTTATATCGGCACTTCCTTGAAGAAGTAGTCGTGCTACTCGATAGCCATAACGTTCTTGATCGGAAAGAACAGCTAAATGAAGTGGTGTTCGTCCATATGGATCTTTTTCATTGACATTACAGCCCAATTTATTAATAAGTAAATTCAATTGAGACAAACGTCCATCTAAAATCACCTGATGAATAGATGCCATATGTTTATTTGAATGTAAAATGCAACACAAATTGATGGCAGTGACAAGGTACAACTGATAAATAAAGTATTGACTGTTTTTTTTTTATACTTTTTATGTTAACTGTACAGAACAGAACGTATATAGGATTAAAATAATGGAGTAAGAGAAAAAAATAACATTGCTTGTATGACCATCCTTGTAAAAAGAGTCAAACATGTTTCTCTTGGACTAATGTGCCACATAATAGCTTTTTTTGCTAAGAGGATATATTGAATAGAAAAAACAAACCTGTAACAAAATATTTCTATTTTCATTAAATTAAAAAGCCAAACATATAGAGAGACTTATAGAATATTGGATGTTGATCTTCTGTTCACAAGAAGAGCTAATTTTGCCTCTAAGGCAATTATGTCCAGATGAATAAACAATTACTATCTCGCCTAGTTATTATTAACATATCGTCGATACCTACACAGATTGCACATGAATGAATCCTATATACTTATTGATCGACAAACGTATAACATATCTAATTCAATTTTTGAACTACGATCAGGATATGACGCACATCAATACAATTGAAAACAGATGCTCGGATAACAACAACAATAGCAGCTGTTCAATATAGCAATAACACCTACACACATGTAAGCATTCTCTGCGTTTCCTCGTCTCGATTTCTCGTTTTTTTTGTTCTTCTTACAGTCGCTGCTACATAGTCCAAGCTATTCTTTTTCCTTGTAGACACACATAACTCGAAGGTTCTTTTATATACCCGACAAACGTCATCGAATGACTCGTTTTTCTATCGGAAGAGAAAAAACGCATGTTTCCTTTTTTCTTATTCTCTGTTGGTATGCTACGACATTAGATAAAGCGAATACACAACCACTGCATAACGTCTTGCTTAGCCATTAAGATTCACAGAGACGTCACGCGTAGGAAAGAAAAGACGAGAGAGAGAAAAAAGGTTGTTAAAACTACACGCGGAGCAAACCAGCTTTTTGCATTACTAAATACGACAATACTCTAACAGCAACAACAACAACAACAACATCATCGTCGACAAAAGAAGAAATGATAAAAGTCATCTGTCGCACATTAGAAATGTAAAATCGTTCGAATATTACTTTTTTTTTTGCTCATATTACTCTTCGAAAATGTTTACAATATTACCATCACTTTACTTGGTTGCTACGCATTATTTTCGACAATGGGATTCATCTAATTCTTATTATTACGAAGAAAATAAAAATGAAGAAGAGATAACAATATCAGATAAGAATATTATTCATGAAAACAAGTTACCACAAACACAAATACCAAATGATAATATACAAACATTAGATTCAAACGATAAATATGATAAAACTCTTCTTCCACATAACCATGAATCATTAGTAGGTAATCACCAATCATCGACTCGTTCAAATGCTAAAGAAACTGATACCAATTTATCAAATGTCAATAATGATAAAGATGATCAACATGATCAGATAAAATCATGTACAATAAAACCAAATAATTCTTCGTCACGATTAAACGACGAAAAACCTAAGAGTTTTACAGGCGACCTTGGTGAAAATGATATGTTATATTTAATGAACGAGACTGGATTCAGCCACAAAGATATATCGTCGTGGTATACAGATTTTCTTGTATGTAATCATAGTTAATCAATTATGATACGATGTTATCAATGACAAGCTAAATGTTGTTTCCTTTTTTTTGTTATCCTTGTAGCGTGATTGTCCTGATGGAAAACTTACGAAATCGAAATTTATTGATATTTATAAACAATTTTATAAGAAAGGTCAAGTAGCTAAATTTTGCGAGCATGCCTTTCGTATATTTGATAAGGATGGTTCAGGTTCTATCGGTATGTAATTGATATGCTTATAAATATCGAATTAATTATTTTGTTTTGTAACAATCAGATTTTCCTGAATTTCTTATTGCTGTTAGTATGACATCAACAAAAGATCCTGTGCGAAAAACGGAACTCTTCTTTTCTATGTACGATATAGATCAAAATGGTCTTATTGATCAAAATGAAATGAAGTGCGTCGTTGAGGTATGTTTTTTCCAGTCTTATCAATTTTGTTAATCGTAAAATATCAAACATGTCACTTTAAATTAACCGGTAGTGAATAATGATCCAAGTGAAATATTACTTTTCATTTCGATAGAAAACCAAATGAATCATTTATTTTGCACGTCATTTTTTTTGACATTTTCATATGTATACTAATGTGTTATTTACAAACACATGAATATTGATTGCAATTTTGTTTTGATTCTCTCCTTCTCACTTTCTATATTTGTTTTTCAGTCGATCTATGAATTACTGGGTCTTGATATACATGACTCAACAAGAATCGATATGAAAGTACAAGAAATATTTGCCAAAGCTGAATGTGATCAATCAGGATATTTAACTAAAGAGCAATTTGCATTGGCTTGTGAAAATGATCGACACATTCGAAGATTATTAGTCCCAAAAACCAAAGCTCCAAATAATCGGTGAAATGAAAATAATTAATTTCTTGAGAATACTTATATAATATCATATCTCATCGATTTGTTTTTTGTGTCTGTTAAACATAGCAACATCTATCCGAAAAGTACACTTTGCTAGTCATGAAGCAATCGGTTCTTTTTTTTTATTGCCTGATGTAAAAATAATTGACGCTCGAAATAAAGGACAAATTTTGTATTCAATAGATAAATATGATTCTTTTCTTCTTCTGTTAATTTATTTGTAATTCATACACATTTCTTTTTAGTTTTATCGTGAATGAAAATCGATCCATGTACTCGTTTACTTTTTCTTGATGCAGTATGAATTGTATTTGCAAAGTGTTTTTTTTTCGTCTCTCTCTCTCTCTCTCTCTCTATGTAAATATCATGTCTATCATTGCAAATGGATATATATATTAATAGCTTAAATATAATACTTGTCTGGACATGGGTTTAACCTGTCTAAACTCGATTAAAATGTCATGTTAAAAGTTAAGGCTTTTTTTTCTAAGTTTTGTAACACATCATCTTAATGCAGGCTCCGGATAAACGTTAGTTTTATTTTAATTGTTGAAAGATGAAAACAATCTATTTGTTTTTAGATTATATTATTTGATATTTGAGAAACTTTTGTTTTTTTGACAGAAATAAAAATCTTGATCAATTTATGTAGTCATTTTAATAAATGAAATCGATAACAATATGAACGAACTGCTAAATTGTTAGTTGAACAAATGGAAATCAAATTTTAAAAAAACATTATAAAACTAGATGGTATTCGAGTTTCACTCGACTACGAAATGCGGTGCGAAGCACACGAGCCGAATTTTCGAAAGTAGCGAGAATAAGATTTAAAAAATATATGATCCACTTTAAGATTCATTAGAATCGATTATTTTTTTAAATTTCCGTATACGAATTTTGAATAAAAATTTCGCATTCACTATTCTTAAATGGACCATTTTAAATTTCATCACTAGGGGATCTTTCTGAAAATGTAACAACCAGTTTTCTAACGATTTTTTTCATTGAACGATGAATTATTTTCATGAATCATTATCTTGAATCAGATGTAAAACAATAGACTATTGGTTAACAACTATTGATGACGTCATTTTAATTAGCGCGAAACTATCAAACAATAAAACCTTTCAAAACCTTCATTTTCGAATCATATTTTTGGGCGAACGAAATTTAGTATTGTAGATCGGAAAAAAGATGTAACAAGTTCGACCTCCATAGTTTCATATCTAGTTTGAATGGATTTTCTATCATTTACGCTTCTCTAGATCATCGCGTCACTTAATAAGAACATTTTATGCGTACTCAAGTTTGAAAGAAAGAAAAAAAAAACTCGCGACGGACTACATGAATGCTGTGCTTCGCACCGCATTAAATATTATTTAGACTTTTCCTGGAAGGAATTTTTATATTTTTTGATAAACAGCTGTTGATTCAAAACAAAAAGCAAGTCGTTTGATAGCAATGAGATTTATCAAGTTGATACATATTTCCTGGTTTTGCCTACTAAACTAGTGATTTCAGACAGTTCGAGTCACATTATATCATAATTTAATTTTGTTTCTAAGAGCGATGTCATTTTTAGTTGAACTAAGGATGACCGGACGGATGGTCGCGGGACAAAATGTCGCAGTATCTCTCAGAGTTTAAAATTTCTAATCCGGAAACCGATTCAAAGAATCTACACTATGAACTTTGATACTATAATTTTTATCGTAGTGCCCACCAAGATCCCAGTAAGGGTATCCATATGACTATATGTAAAGATATAAAAGATTCATAAGTCAGCAAGCAGTCCGCATTCCGAATCAGCGACACGACTACAGATATCGTGTACTCCTGATAACACCCAGAACTTAAGCCTGTACGGAAAACCATCTTTCGAACCCAAGACGTGACAGCTACATGCGAGCAACAACTTGAGTATCATCTACACCAGTACCTTTACTGGGAGCTTTCTGGGCACTATGATAGAAATTATAATATCAAAGTTCATAGTGTAGATTCTTTGAATTGATTTCCGGATTAGCAATTTTAAACTCTGAGAGATATTGCAACATTTTGTCCTGCGACTATTTGTCTCGCAATCATCTGTCCTAGCGCCGAACCAAGCTTTTATACATGCATATCGAATTCATAATTATTCCTGTTGCTTTGTTTTAATGTCAACTTGTATTGATCAATAATAAATTGTCGTGAGGGGAACAACGATTAATAGGAAGACAATAAAAAAATAAAGACATTATTAACCGCAACGTTCGAACTGTGATTTAATTTTCTATCTCAAGTGTAAATCTAATCTATAGAGAAAACAAAAAATAAAATTAGCAAGAAAAATAGTCTCTAATTTTTTTCATTAGTAGATAATGTTCGACATGATCAAACTGAGGTTACATGTGATGTTTTGAACAACCATTTTGCGCCTACTAATGGGATTTGTTTCAATAAATAAAATGGACAGTATTATTTTTTAGCTATTAGTATGTTTGCCTGAATAAACAGATTCTCTTCAGTATTAACAGTCAACACAAAAACAAAACTCAAGTATCTCTATGAAAAGTTAATGCATCGGAAAAGTCTATGTACGCACGTATATAATTATGGTGACCATATATTAATAAGACATTTCTAACCTATTCTTCTCTGGTTATATTAGTACATCTCAAAAGTTCCCACACCATACTAAATTCATTTGAATAGTTTGAAATTAGCGGAAATGTCACATCAATGGAAATATCGTTGACAGGATTCGACGAGCAAAAAATTCTATTCTTAATATTTTCCCCAAAGAAAAACTCCATAATAGTAATTAACTTTTCAGTAGATCATAAATATTAACAACGAAGTAAATTACTTGTAACTATGAATTCTCTCGAATAAAATATCGATAGAACCCAAGAAAGAAAAAACACTAAATTTAGTTACATAGTTCATAATTTCGTTTATTCTTAAAACAAAAGCGCAATATCTTTTTTTTGACACAGATATATTAGCAATAATGTCTACATATATATATATATATTGTATGTCTCTATCTTATGATGATAAAATATGTTATTAATCATTAATCATTACGAATAAATAATTGACCAATATGTAAATCAAATTAGATTTCTGTTTTGTTCAGATACTGTTGAAAAATGGACAGATATTTGTTATTGTTTTAACAATTTTGATGTTATCCAAATTGGAATAGACAACAAAAAGAAAAGATCAAATTGAAATGATATCATACGTCAATTATGTTCACCAAAAGAAGAGAAAGAAAACAATAACATAAGAATTATCGTTAGATAAAATCCGTATAATTTTTCCGTTTAGTTTGATGTGCTTCTGAGAACAGAAAAAAAAGACACAAAGAAAAAACCCTTAGAATCGCACTCATTTATGAAATAGTAAGTAATACAATAAATATATATATTTTTTTCTTTGTTTTCAATGTGTTGATTCAAGAGGCTGATGGTGCAAGTAATTTTCGTAGATAATCGTCTTGTAAACAACCAGATACGAATTCATCCTTGGATAATTTTTGATCACTATTTATGTCCATTTTTGAAAATATTTGGTCGACTTTCATTTCTGGAGAATTGGAACCTTTCTTTTCTTCTCCAAGCAAATCATAAATAGCCTGATTAGAAAAAAAGAAAGCAATGAATATTTTAATTTCAATAACAAAGAAAAACATAGTAAACTTAATGCTTACATCCATAATCTTTTTCATTTCCTTTTTCTCAATATATCCATTGCGATCGATGTCTAAAAAAAACAATAGAAAAGTTTCATAAATAAAAGATTGAAGATGCATAACAGAGTAAAAAAGAACAATGAACACCACATACCATACATTGAAAATGCCCATTCTAATTTTTTTCTCGGATCTTGTTGAGCCGTAATTGAAATAGCAATTAAGAATTCGCCAAAATCTAAAATAATGATAATAATATTCATTATTTTTCTTCTCGTTTTTGGTGGAAAACAATAAATAATTTATGCGTGGATTACTGGTTCATCCGTTCCATCCTTTTTCAATGTCAAGTAGCATTACTGTTGATGGTTCAACCCGTTGAGAATGGTCCCTATTACTTTGTATGCTCCATCTATTTTACTGCTGTTAAATTACGTATTATAAATTGCTTGTTAGTTTTGAATGATGTTTTGCTCGATCTCTTAATAGTCTTTTTCCTCAAAAGACCATAAAAAAAAGATTTACTCAGCTTAGACTGTTCCTTTTGTTTTCCGATTTGTTTTCAACATTATACTCAATAGTAAATAATTCACATACCGATATTGCTTGATCCATCCGTATCAAATGTACGAAAAACATATTCACAAAATTTTTCAGCTTTCCCAGTCGGATAAAATTGTTTATAAACTTCAATGAATTTCTTTTTGTTTAGTTTTCCACTTGGACAATCTTTCTAGAAATTCATGAAGAAAAAAAAAAGTGCTATATTAAATAGAGTACTTGACATGTCCTTGGAATATAATAGTAGATGCATTGATATCTATGACATATGTGTTGTAACATGTTTTTTCTTTCATTCTTAGATATTATTATTATTATTATTATTATTATGATTATTATTATTTGCTTTTAATAATCAAATCAAAAACTCGGAAAAGACGTGTCAGCTGAGTGATTTATTTTTGAAAATCGAAAAGATTTCTCCGGAAATAGAAATCTTTTTCTATCTTAGTAAGAGATCAGTGCCATAGAATTGAGCTATTTTATTTTGTCTATCAGTTTTTCAGCACATATTGAAGAGCAATTAACGCGTACCAGTAGAAAAGAAACGATTGTGATCGAGTGGATTGTCAAGGCACAGATTCAGCTCATCATTTCTTTTTCTTTCGTGTATTCTTATCTAATGAACACAGAGTGCCCTAACGCAATGGTGACAATGACAATACTCAAGCTTTCGCCTCTAATAATGTGATCAGATGCGCTGACATCGCTGATGCAATTAGACAGAGCGTAACTTTTTC